TGAACCAGTGATTAATATATATAAAAGCTTTTAAAGCTTCCTTGAACTTAGTTACAACTTATACTTGTAGTTACCTAACTTGGGCCATTACGTGGTTATGTTAATCAATTGTTGCATATGTGAGTACATAATGTGTTAGGTACCAGGATTGCATGTGGTTATGACGTCATCATTGTCCTTGAACCCCAGTGCAATTAGTTACCACCCTTCCTGTTACTATCGAGGGTGAATTTATTGCGCAGTATTATTCGCAAAATGTTATGTCTTATTTGTGTTGTGAAGTAAAGTAAAAAATTGTAGTCTAATGCATATAATTTTAAGTTTGAAGAATAAAAATAATGATTATAATAATATCAAAATGTGTAGTTTTCTTGAAAAAAAAAAATAAGTAAAATATTTTTAGGATATTTTTAGATTGTGATATAATAAGGGCATTAGACATTTAAACCGAAAAAAAGGTAGACACGTTTTCATTTTTATAATAGAACTTATTTTCCAAGTGCATTATTGCGAATTTAATTTACATAGCTGATTTCATTTTTCATTTCAATCATTTTTTGTGTCTTATAAATTTCGTAGAAAAGTATAATAGATCCGTTAATGGGTTATGTTGTGAGAAAATATTAAACAGACGTAAGATAAAAAACATTAGTCACTTTTATGTTATACGTCGAATTAAGTATTCTCCGAAAATTTTGTACGCATCGATAATTTGTTTATGTGTCTTTCGAAGTTCGTAGAGACATAATACGCTAATAATAATAATTATAGCTTTCTCACAATTATATCATAATTAATAAATATGTAATTTTAGAAAACGTTATTATGACAATGCATGCTGTGCACAGCATTGTATATATAACATATATCGTTACAAATACTGCTCTAAGTAGTTTTTACCCGCAACTTCATACTTAAAACTATATAATAATAGATTCATTATAATGAATATAAATCTTTATATAAACTGTTAATAAATTACATACAGAGCCACTGTAATAATGGTAGAATTTATGTCTAACAGTGGTATCCAGGTCGGTAGGTAGGTAGGTAGGTCTTATATGATATGAGAAAATATAGGAGACAAAAAGAAAGATTTGAAATTATTGAATTCAAAGAAAAGAACTTAAATAAACTGAATTAATAATTTGTTAGACTCTCTTGAAGAACATTTTAATTAAATTTAATAATCTCAAATGCCAGTAGGTATTCAAAGAAAAGTCGATAATTTAATTAAAATTTCAAAGAAAATACACAAAGAATATTTACGAATTTAATGGATTTTAATAATAAGCTTGACAGTGAATGAGATTAAAACGGATTCTAATACCTTCACGTAATTCTGTGGAACCGCGAGATATTCCAGAGGTGTCCTCTGAATGGAATGAAACCTTTTGTGAACGGTAGGTATTCCTAGGCACATTTCCATTTTACCAGATTCATTGAGTAAATACCATAAAATCCTATATCATTCGACCTTCGTTTTATATATAGTATTATTATATATTAGTATTTATTTTTATATGCCTTTGTTTATCTACAAATAAATAACTATACATATTCTATAGTCTACTATATCTCACAAAATGAGACACATAACATCTTAGACTAATATTCAATTAATTATGTACCTACCCTAATTAGATGTATTTCACCTACGATGAAGTCATTATATACATTTATAATTTATTATTACATAGCATATTCATTTCAGTTATACCTATATAATTTCATTGTTCATTCCTTTGGTTTTGTATAGTATTAACTTTTTTATGATTCTATAAACCTGTAAAAATAGAGGCGCTATAAAATAACAAAGCCAAGCAATCAAGCCTCCATCTCAAGATCAGAAGGCGGTAGGAATGCGATATAGATAGTTATTTTTTTTTATAAATAAATAAATATAGATAGTTAAGGAAGCTTTTAAGTTAAAAAACTATAAGAGCATGTGACGTTGACATTTTAGATCTAGTATAGTGTCAGTACACATTAACTGCCTTAATATAATTAAAAATCAATGACAATCCATTATACAACAGATTATTTAATGTTCTTAATATCGCGCAGCTGCTCCGAAGTGATGTGTTTACATACATGTTATATTTATGGAGATATATTAAATTCGCTACATCATATATCAAATTCTATAACCAATAAACAGAAATAAATAGTATTTTATTTTCGTTGTGTCATTTCCACAACATGGTTTATAATTTATTCTCTGTTTTCTCGCTGTACAGGATTAAAGTTAAGATTCACTAAAAGAAATTTATCTCAGTTCCGAAAATAATATAAATATTTAAAGCATTATTATTCCATAGAAAAAGTTCATTGTAATCGAAATAACATTTGAATATGGCCAACAACGAAGTGAATTCCAATTGCTGCAAAAAGAATCATCGAGATCCGTTAACTTTTAATGAAGATATTGCTCTACATGCGAATGAAAATAATACCGAAACAATTCCTTCTTGCAATTCATTGAACAGTTATAAATAAAAAAAACTGAAACAATAAGTGAACATCTATCTAATATTATGTCTGTAACAGCTTGTAGAGTTGAGATAGATTTTGTAAGTCGTCGCCGTGGACAAATTGTTACTATTATTGTTCAGCTTCGATGCAACTTGCTTTACAAGCTGTGTTTCAATTACAGAATACAGATGCATTACACCTTAGTCCTCAGGCAAATTTCGCCCACTACTCTATCCCTAGTTTGAACATAGTACAGTTTTTGCTATATTCATAATAACAAAGAGTTGTATAGAGATAGTATTAAAAAAACTTATGTATAAGTAAGTACTTCACTGGATTAATAAATCTATACAAATTACATAGTGGTACCTAGTGAATAGAAGATAGAACGTACATATTAAAACTTTTCAACCGTTCGCGTGATACGTGAAAATAAATAACACTGTCCTATTTCCATACTTATTGATATCCTGTATTATTCACAAAACGTAACCTCCGATAAATGTATTTACTATAAGAGTATATGGTCTATTTTTTTATTAAAAATCGAATACATTCGATGTATTCGATTTTTCGAGGAAGTCATGGAACATTTCAATTGCTGAGTTCAATCATAAATTCTATATTTTTATAGAGTAGTGTTAAAGTCTAAAGATACAATTATTGGACAATTTTCACCAATGAAGTTATATGTGTGTCAATTTGTGGTTACAGTCATTAATTCAATCTAAATAAAGGCATGAACCACATGTCTACTTCTGAAATTACACAACTAAAATAAAGAAGATATATATAAAATTTCGAAATTAAGTCTATAATTAAATAATATCCGCCTACATACAACCTACAATATATTAGGAACATGACTACTTTTACAGAAAATGTAATAATAATAATATTAATTTATTTGCACCAAGCAAATAAATTATTTAATTTGATCTATAAATTTTTATGTAGGTGTGTGAGGAAAATGCTTTGCCCATTTGTAGGTTTTATAAAGTCAAGGAAAAAACAGGGTCAAATATTAATTGTAAAAAGAAGAGAGAATAATGACAAAGTAAATTACGAATGAAAATCTTTAAATTTTATAAAATTTATATAAAAAAATATATATTGCTCCTAAAATCACTCCCACAACTCGATACCGTGTTGATAACATATTAATTTTGTGTAGGTTTTATAGAAAAATATATATTTTATTTAAAGCATCAATTGATTTGCATCGCACATGTGCATAGTATAGTGGCCGCATGCAGTATTGTATCCCGACCCTGACCTAATGCAGGCATGTGCAGTAATTTTCATCACGCCAACACCATTATTAAAATCGTGTTTTAAGGCATATCTATGCTGACCTACATAATGTATAAATTGCTAGAAATATTAGGGAGGTCAAATTTTTCATGATAATTACATGCCCATGCCTTTTATACCTATTGTGAATAGGTTTAATATACTCAAACTCAATTTAAACTCTTATTACATGATCTTCCAATATATATATAAATAGCGTACATGACCTAGTAACTATAATTCCCTGGAAAATAATAATAGTCTGAAATATGAATAGGCAGAAATTACCTAATATTTACAAAATGTAATCAATTTAATCCGATGCCCACATTTCATCAAACATACTCCAATTCAACATAACTTGTCTTAGTCTACAATATTAATACAGTTGTTACGGTAGGTACTTAATATTGCTCGATTCGACTGTAAACAATAAAATAAAACAATCGAAATAGAACTTCTATTCAATATTCAAAATTAACTTGCAGCAACGCAGATCAGACATTATAATTTAACAAAATATGGATAACATTGCATCTGTACTTATATTATCATATAGAGCCGTAAATGATATAGCCTAGCACTGCCCAGAAGCGCAGAAGCTTCCTGGTATCTTCGTACACTTCGTAGAACGACCTCAATATTTCGAAGATTTGTGTACCTACGTCACAGCTTTACTGCCCAAGATAAAGTGAATGGAAGCATAAAAAGTAGTCTATTGTCGCTGTGATTCATAAGTGTTTGTATAAGGAATAGTGGCCCCGTTATAAAGTGTACTGAAATGTCGTATTCTAATCGTATCTAATATCAACCATTTCATTCACCAACACGAACAGAATTCCCACTCAATATGTAAGTTTTATTAAGTTATGGCATTGATTACATTTTAATTAAATCAATAGGTAAAGAATTTTACTCTTTTTACTACACAATACATTTATTGTACATTTTTTGTGGTACCATTGGGATGGAAGATATTATATATAGCACAATTAAGAATTTCAGTCTAACTTAGTTCAAAACCTTTTTAGTTTAAAAAGAGATTTAGATAAAAAGTTTAAATGTTAAATATAATCCATTTAGATTTAGTAGTTATAAATAAATACTCATAATAGCCTTCGAATTAACTTAGATCTTAATGTGATACATTATAAAAAAAACTATGAAAATCAGTATATTAATTTATTATGGCAACTACATGTATTCGTATACAATATATCGTTCCACCACAGGGCACAGGAGACCATCACAAAAAGGGAATGGACCAAAGTCCACCATGCTTCTTCACTGCAGGTTTGTAGACATCATTGTGTACCTGCTTAGGTTAACGATTATTTTGTGCATATCCACAGTTAACGTAAACAAATTCTTACTTTATTATACTTTATAAATTAATCTATCATTGCTTTGCTACTTACAAATCTTAAATTTCGAACATTACTCTATTTTCGAATATTTTAAACACGTTATTATTTCTATTATCCTGTCATGATCTTATTGATATTAGTAGTAAAATATTTTTTTCTTAGACATTACACATTCCGTCAATCTGTTATATCATCATTTGAATAGATACAGTCAGCTTTAGGTTTACATTAGGGAACAGAACGATAAATAATACGTCGGTAACAAGATCGTAACCGCATATTAAAAAAGAAATTATATTTCAAAATCATAATAAATAAGTCAAATCTACTAAAACTAATAAGATCTTGACAAGCATATTGCAGTTTTAGTAACAGCTATCTATACAGCTATATATTATTCATCAACGGCATCCTTTTGCATAAGTTTTTAGGTACTCACAATTACTCATTACATATACGCCGAACATCTCTTTCTTAAAAAAAAATATTTTTAATATTTTGAACCATGCTGTTGAATGTTGATATGAAGTGATTATACGGGTATTAGTATCAAAACGAAAATACTTTTTACATTTAATATTTTTCACATTACTTACCTAAAATGCAAACAAGTGATATATCATTATTGCCATGCTATTAAATATAAAATGTACCTCACAGTTCATTGCTAGTCTTGTTAACACAATATGCCTAACATAGGAATAAAAACACATGTCGTATTTGTTTCAGAGATGGAAATCGTGCCCGAGGGGAAAAACTTTCGATTGGTAACAGAAGACGAGCTCCCAGCAGTGGCCGATATCTTAGTGCAGTATATGCCTGAATCTTTAAAGGTATTTTATATAAAAAAATAGGTATAAATTATCATAAACCGAACAGTCTTAAAAATAAATATCTAAAAATTATAAAGCACCATCCAGTCTTAATCGAAGTTAAATTAAAAGAGTTAAGTTTATACTCATGATACTAGACTTAAATAGCTTAAGATCCTTAATTTTTAACCAGAACCAGACTGCTTGTTTCTAAGAGGAAAATTATTTATTATTTATCAAATAAAACTTTCCAAAGTTTTAAATTAGCCAGGTAGCGGAAAATACGATATTTTTTCTTTTCTAAGATTAAATCTTGGCAAAGCTGCAAGGACCTATGACTATAAATTGCACCCAAAGATAAGTTGTGGCCGAGTAAACGGCCCCGTGTTTTACTGCTTGGATTTTGCAATTATTGTAAATCATTCTATGGGTGTCTATTTACGTGGTAAAAGTTTTTATATATGTGAGATAATATAAGTATAGTTTATCTGTAACTTACATACAGATATAGATTACAAATAATTTTAAATATCGTGACATTCGTAACAGTTTCTTTTATACCCTCTTTCGGCGTCAATCTTATAAACTGTGTGCTAATAATCTTAGCTAGTTCATAAACAGAATATTATTATTACAAAAACTATCGTTACCCGCGAACTACCACCTCTGTCACAGCGTTAGGTTGGCTGGAAGAGATCTGCAAGAGCAGAGATAAGCCCACCCTTGGTTACATTTTTGTATAATTATACTTATTTATTAATGTAACAAGTGTAAAAAAGTATATTCAATAAAATATTGATTATATTTTTTTAGTAATGCGTCAGATACCGAATAGAATGAAATAAAATTTAGGATCTGACTAATGTTGACAAAATTTAGAATTCTTAGCAACTAGCTAACATTTCTTATTGGAAACAGGGTAATCTCAACAGTTTTATGATTACATTTGTGTGAGACCAAATCTGAAATGAGTCATACAAATTCGCAACCAACCAATTTGAATCTCTTGAAACTCCAAATTATTATTAACTACAGTACCTAATAAGATAATTGATATAAATATGTACATCTGTAGGTATAATTACATTACTACCTAACTTATACATTTATATACCATTTTTTTTTCAGTTCCATCAAACGATTCAAACATATCGAAACAACAAAGTGTGGGACTTCCATTTTTATGTAGCAAAAAATTGGCCGGAGGATCCAATTTGTCTGCATTTCCCTGGCTGTACTAGTACTGTAAGTCATATTTATAGTAATACTAGCTTTTACCCTTTACTTCGTCTGCGTAACTGCCTTATCTGGGTAAATAGTAGTACGTAATATTATGTTATCTGTGGTAGTACATATCCTTAACCTATTCCATGAACAGTTTAATAGCAATTTTTTTTACCATTGAATATAAGAAGCATACAACTCCCTTTTCAATCAATATTATTGTAAGTACTAAATGAAAATATTTTTTTTTAAATGACCTCTTCCAGCATGTGTTGATTCACTATGTTCCCCGAAAATATGTGATGTAATACAACAAAGATGTGCGAATTAATAGGCGGTATAGAATTCTATAACGGAATTAAATTTATAAAAAAAATATTAGTTATAGCTCTTATATTTTATATGTTCTTCCTAGTGTTCAGAGATTTCTCATTCAGATCTCGGTAATATGGTGGAATGCTATTGAATAAAACATAGGCGCGAATTGAAGTCGCTTAGTGGCGTAATGATTTCTGCCTATAATCTAAACAAAGATTTTATCCTTTCCTTTCGTTCTTTTCTTCATTTCCTTTTCCAACAATAAATTCAACCTCAAGCAATGTTTAACACTCTAAAACGGGGTGTTTTTCGTCTTTATATGTCTGTATGTGGTATCATAGAGCTGCCAAAGAGATGGATTTTAACGCATTTTTTTTATAAGTTGACGTGATTAAGATTACTTACATATTAGATATGAAGATCTGTTTATGCTGATGTTACCTTTATATATATATATAGAACTGTGAAGTAACATCTAAGAACAATGTGACAGAATTTAATTGATTTTACAATTTACGAGTAAATACTATCGTTACATTTCGGGTTGTACTTGTACGAGTACCGCTTAGGTGTTTTTTTTTAATTCTGTATATGAAATTTTCTAATCATATTATTTTGAGTATATGCCATAATACGATTAACGATGATAGAGTAAGAGCTTACTAGATAAAAGTTTGTAAATCCAGCCCTCAAAGTGAGGCATTTAAGCGCCCCACGTTTTACTGTTGTACCTACTGTACCCGTCTTGCTGTGACGTCATGCCCTCACATCGCGTCTAGTGGAGGGAACTTCAACGTATCTGCAACTTTATAACAACCATTTACCACCTCTTAAAAATGTATTAGCTTTCATATTTATAGCCCTGATGAAACTACTTAATTAAACAATCAGGTCTACGTGCTGCTCGCTGAGCCTATCGATGCGATCGACTTTATCAATCTACTTATAAAGTACTATGCTCTAATGTGTGTTCTAAGTCATTTGTCTAAAGTATCAATTTGCTTAAAAAAAAGTACTCTAATAAATTTAGAGTTAAACCTAGTTATAAATCAGTTGCATCTAACACCTTATCCCCGTGAACTGGGATAAATTATGTTGTGTTTTTCTATATACGTATTATTCTGATAGTAGTTATATTGTAATAGTAGTATTATTAATTAGTATGTCTTTTTTATAACATTCCGATGAAAGGTAAATACAAAATTTACCATTTCTTCTTCTGCTGCGGTAGCCCATCATCGCAGGGTATCGTAGTCCAATTTGTTTCCACGTTGCACGATTTGCGGCATGTCGATATTGTAGGTTATATGGTCTACATATGCATGGCATTTAATTTTAGACTATTGATCTATTTTCTATAGCAGTACTAACATGAAACCGCTTCGCCTTTTACAGCCCAACAGCCACCCATACGAGAGTGTGACGGTGTTTTGCCCGTCCGAGCGCGCTGAATTGGTAGATCTGCTCACATCCGAGGACGTGCTGCTAGATCTCACCAAGCCATTGTACCTGAACTTCACTCACGAGGCCATAGTAAACCGCTTCGAGAAGCGCTATGAAGCCCATGACAAGATCACTGGTGATGTCTACGTCTGTGATAGCCCACCGGAGGATGCCGATACTGATGGGTAGGTAGCATTTTGTCTGCCTCCAAAACGTCTCGTATACATTTAATAATAATTATTATTGTGCTACATTGTAAATTTACTTCTCAAACTAATTGTATATTTATATAATTTGTATTTTTATTTGTATTTAGGCTGCCATCGGACGTGGAGCTAGTTCGTCTGCAGCCGGAAAACATGAAAGCCGTACATGATCTATACCCGGCGAGCGATATTGAATGCCGTGAAGTCTTCGAGAAGCTAGTTGCTGAACTGCCTGCCTATGGAATCTTCGTCGAGGGACAGCTGGCCGCGTGGATGGTCCAATCCTACTACGGAGCAATGTTTTCAATGCAAACTCGTCCCGAATTTCGTAGGAAAGGATACGGCATTTATTTGGCCAAGCGTCTAACAAAGGAGGTGGCTGCTCGCGGGTACAAGCCATTCGTCGTGATTCGTCCGGAAAACGATGCGTCCCGTTCTCTCTACTCCAAGCTTGGCTTCGAGAAACGTTTCCGAACGGTGCGCGCCGTTTTGCGACCTCGCTAGCGAGTAAAAAGTTGATCACTAGCAGATTTTATTTTTTTAAGACTTTTGAAAAATCAATCTAGCTTGCGATCTTTGATCGCTTAGTGAATTTTAGTAGTAGCTTTAAGATTGTCGCGGCTAGCGCTCTCGATCTGCGCGACTCGAACTAATATTCCGACCGTGATTTTCCAATTCCTATTCAAAACTAGAGCCTCTGCGTAATATTTCTGCCATTAGCCTTTTTATAAATATATACTCTACATTGTGTGTTTTTGATCTACGAAGACATCGACAACGAATGTAGAATACTTCTCAATTTTTGGTATATAAATTAATATCTATCATCTTTATAATGCTTCGCAGCAGATTCGAGAGCCGTAGCCGTATGCTGCGTTCTCTGGCGCTAGCCTAGTCACTGATCTCAATGATTCTAACTTGTCTAGAATCACTCGGAACCTGAACTTGTTAAGTTCAGATATTTACCAAAGAATTATGATAATAAGGCGAAGAAATGAATGGGCACTATGTATGTAACCTGGTTGCGCAAGTTTCCTATTGAATATAGCGTTCTAAGTGCCAAGCTGTAAATTGATCTAGTGCAAACCTTTAAAAGAAATCATAAAAATATTGCACAGAAATATATGCGCAACCATAAACACGTTCCTTAACGAGGTTCTATTGCTTCTCGACACAGTTAGCCCCTCATTTAGGCGAACGCTTATCATTTCCACTCGTTGATCGAGCGGAAACTATTCTGTCTCATGGTTTAAAAAATTTTGGGACCCGTTATGATCTGTGTGATAAAATGTTAGCGTATATTCGAAGTAAGGACGTTGGAAACGTAAGGAGAGACATGAGAAAGAATGTTCCCGTAATTGCACCACAGATTGCACAATTCGACAAATTAAACTTCAAGCACCAAATTTAAATTGATTATCCATTTTAAATAAAAAAATGTTTATTCCAAGTTACTATCTCTACATTGAGTTAATGATTTATCCCTTCTCCATTCAATACAGATATTATACGTCGAAGATAATAATGAAAGAAATTACATGAGAAAAAAATTTAAAACGTAGTGAAATACGGACTGAAAAACTTCTTTTTTCTTAATTGTTAAGTACTCCCTTTTCCTAACAAATTTTAATAATGCCTAGATATCAGAAATCCTCTTTTTTAAAGAACATAATGCATTGTTGAATATTTGAAAAATCATCTAAAGTTTGATACGAAAAGTAGTTAGGTAGGAATTTTAATACGGGAATATATTTTACAACTACATACCTATATCAAGTATGTAGCTATACTATATAGGGCGTTTGCTATACGTATTATAACCGAGGAAACTTAGAAAGTTAATCATCGATTTTAATTATATCTAATGGAGATTCTATTGTGTGATACTATATATTGCTTTGCGTTTAATGACAGTAGGTATAGTACGTTGGTTTACTCAATTCATAGACTTTACTGTCTTCCGAAAGACTGGCATGTAGAAGCAATTTGGAGAAAAAAAATATCCAAATTAGGATATTATTTTTTAAACAACAAAATTGTAGCTACCCTAAGAAAATGAATTTTAATTAATTTATTTAAACATGGGTACTAACACATAATTTGTATTAGAAACACAATTGGCATAATATTAAGACGGCATAAATATTGCTCAATGCAAGGAGCTTCCATCTTAAAATCATAATGGGAAAGGCCAAATTAAAGCCTATAATTATTAATTTAGCTACTGTATTTGTTTATAAATTGTGCTTGTCTCAAAATTTTTATGATTCGGAAAACTGTTTTGGAATATCCGTATCTATACGTTTAAGAATTGTTTAATTATTATATTAAAATGCATACGTCTAACCGACTTATGTACATCGGTACGTACGGTACCTATACAGAAAAATACCGTTCAAAATTATAACACTCATTGTACATCCATTCATGCTATAAGCTTTTCCTACATAATAAATAGGTAATAAACCTACATCGCATAAGTAGTTCAAACGTTACCTACTTAAAAATTATTAATTATAAGAACATATTTCCGAAAGTATAATTCATAAAGGACACGAGCTCCGTCCTTAGCGTTGCATAAGGCAGTGAAATCGCAGTTTTGAATTCCTGCAGCTTTAAAGAATGTAGTGTCCATTCTGTATGATTTATCAGTTTATGACTTACTTACCTTGCAAAGGTATGGAAACAATAAAGAGATAATATACAAAATAAAGTGGTTTTATTTTAACAATATGTTTTAACCCTCAATCTAGCTGTCTCCAGAACAACGAACTCCGGAGCCGGCGTGCATGAGACTGATTATCTGTCTAGGTAGTCTCTATAGGCCTCTCTAATATTACTTTTTAATACTATATAATATTAAAGCTCTGATCCTTGAATATATTCTGTATACATACATAATTTTAAATACGATTTTAGTGAATTTTTTTTAGAAACTCGAGCTTAGCAGTCCACAGTTTACTGAACAACTTGGAGTTTATTGAAATTGCTCAGATTTTTTAATAATGCTACGGGGTGTGAGACATAAGACTGCAGGGTACGAAGACATCACACCTTATTCCTCATTCCATCTCCACCTTACACATTCTATCAAATACGGTATCAGCTTGCCATACCAGTTACTACAAAAACAAATTATTACACAAGTACACATAATAGTAGATACTATCGTGATCGTACCTAATAAGTGGAAGTTTGCAAGATCGCACATTGCATATATACAGAAATACTCGTATGATGTGGATTAGGGACAGACGATAGAAATAGAAAGTGAGAGATGGCGATAGCTAGGTAGAATAACAACTTTAATCACCAGCACACAATAATTAACAATAGGAGATTATTATGTATGATGCCTAGAAAACCAAATAAGAAAGTATGACGCATCTATATTCAGTCCAGATCGGTGTAGACGAAATGGGAAACGCTAACATTATCATTCTATATTATATAACTGCGTTGTAAAATTACTTAAACATGGGTATTACTTATTACGTAGTATATACTTTACCTATTAAACTAAACCCTTACTAAATACTTATACGACCGAAAATGATGTTTGACCCACGCATTATTACAAAATTTTTATTGCAGCGAAAAATGAATTCACAAATTTCCATAGATCAGAATCTGGTAAAAAATGGCAATTATTGACGATGATGAGTCCTCAGTTTGAAAACCAAATAGAACCAAAAGCCAAAAATCACTGGCAACTTGCCAAACAAAGAGCGCTGGTAACCCTGGAAATAAACTGTCAAAGCATCCAGTGCCATAAAATATGTTAACAAAAAGACTTTTAGGGATTTCTAAATTACAAGTATCGATGTACCTTATCGAAATTAATAAATATTAACTGAATTTGGCAGCCTCGGTGGTCTAGTGATTTAACACATCTCTTCCCTTTCTGATAGTCGCGGGTTCGATTCTTCACACAGTGAAAATATTTGTACTCCTGAGTAGGATTATTTTTATTGATCTAGGTATTACCTATGTATATTATGTATGCATTTATCTAACAACTACAACTAACAAAAAGTATTTATATCAGTTGTCTAGTATCCATAACTAAAGCTCTGTTTAAATTAGAACTGAGAGATAGCCCTCTGTGAATTATCCAAGGTTATTATTATATATGATTTTGAATAAAATCTACTTAGATTTTCATTCATTGAAGTTTATAAGACTATGCAGGAAACATCAAATTAAAATTTAAGGCTAGAGACTACTGAATTGATTAATTCCTATTGTTACATGATAGGCACTCGTTATATAATATATATTTTTATATCAATAACCAATAGTTTTAGATTTATAAAAAAATACTATACGTATTCATTAATTCATATTTGGAATCATAAAATTCATATTTATATGATTGCATTATTTGGTACTTTTATGAATATAAAAGTCGATACATCTACTAATATCGATATATCGATAAATTCTTGCAAGCCAAACTGAAATAATAATACACTATACACACAATATGGCCGTTGTTTTTATTTCTTAAAAAATGTATTCACGTGTTTATTCTCATTAAATGATTAGTGCATATTACAATGACGAGTCTCATTAACAAAATAGAACATTTAATCAAAAGGGAGAGAACTACTCCAGAGAGGAAACAAAAAGATGATTCAACTAAATCTTCAAGCGAGATCTTGTCGGAGTTGTTCGGTGCTTTTAACGCAGACCCACCTAAAATTGATGAAGCTTCTACTAAGAAATCGAAGAAGAGTAAGAAGAAACATAAAAAGGAAAAGAAAAAGCGAAGCCGGAGTAGTAGCAGTAGTAGCAATTCTGACGATAGTGACTACTCCCATAAACGCAAAAAGAGAAAAAAGGGTAAGACCAAAAAACGTAAAGACTACGACCGGTCCCCTTCATACCCTCCTCCCTTGCGAATAAAGCCCGAACCAGAAGTGGTTAAAAATGAAACTAAACGTACTAAGAAGTCAGAGGATATTAAACCTAAAGAGGCAAAACTCAAGACTGAAATTAAAATCGAGAGAGTCAAAACAGAAACAAAAGAAGAACGAAAAAAGCAAGTTCCTATTATAATAGAAGATTCCAACAGTGTTAGTTTTCTTGATACTAGTTTAATCCCTATGCCTGAGTCTCCTAAAGAAAAACTAGAATTGTGTGATTTGAGAAACAAGTTGGACTGTAAAAAAAATGATACCAATACTGAAAGTGACAAATCCAAAGGTAAAATTCAAATTAAGAATTTGAAATTCAGTACTGTATTTGAGGAGACTGTAAAGAAAGCAGAGGAAGAGGCTAGAAAGAAAGCAGAGAAATATGAAGAGGGAGAATACACAGATTCTTCTAGTGATTCTGTCAACGAAGTAATCTCAAACTCACACTTCCCAAAATCTTCGGATCCTGGGGGCATTCTGAAAAAACAAGCTGCTGAAGAAATTAAAATGTGAGAAATCTTTACACAATAAAAACAGTTTCCATGGAACAGTAAATTTTCTGATATGACTAGATATTGTTAATAAAATTATAAATAGTAATTGCAAACTAAAGTATTAAAGTTAACTAGTCCATAAATACTATTTAGCTAGTTAACTAGTAATTAGATTTTGTCTTGACAGCTAATACGCCAAATCCTTACACATATTTTAACAGTTCAACTGTTATGTTCTATTACATTTAAGCTAGTTTTTTAATTTGTAAGAAGTGGGTTTGTTAGAATTTTTAATCTTTATGAATAAGGCAAATACTAAATATATAGTTTCAATATTTAGTATTTAAAAAGTTGATTTCCTAAATATTGTAGTTGTTTATTTTGTGTAGGTCAAAGGTGATTCTAATTTTAATTGATATACTACTCATGTGTTTCTAGTACCGAAGAAGAAAAAGTTGTCACTAAAAAGAGCAAAACCACAGAGAGTTCTCGGAAGTCATCTAAAAGAGATAGAAGCAGATCTCCGAAAAGGTATGTAGTCAGTATTAAACTTACAAAATTATTGTTGTAATGTAACTTTTATTACTTAAGATAAAGATAAAGAAGCCTTTATTTCTGTACTATTATACATTTTTTTTTCTACATTCCTGTTCATTCATATTATTATATTATACTATAAATTTATTATTATTATATATATTTTTTTTACTATTATTATTTGTTAAGTTTAATTTTTTTTTTTAATTTCATTTTCTAAATTATATCCCGCAGTACAGAGTGGGTTATGGCAAAGGCCTCCTCTAATTCCTTCCACTGTTTTGATATTCTGTCTAAGATTATCTTTGCAAATACTTTGTACAGATTCGACATCAAACTTATAGGCCTATAGTTTTCTATGTCATTCTTTGTCCCTTTCTTGTGTATAAGGATTATGTGAGATTCGCTCCACTGAGATGGTATCATTTTTGTTTTTAGTATGTCATTAAAGATCAACATCAGTAAAGGTATTATTTCCTTCATGGCTGCCTTTATTACCTCATTTGGAATGTCATCGGGTCCAGGTGCTTTTTCTGGAGGTAGGCTTCTTATTGCCTTAGCTATTTCCGATGGTAGGATTGTGGGTACTTCACTTTCTGTCTCTCTTAATATTCCAGACTCCTTTATTTTATCCTTATCAGAATATAATGTTGTATAGAATTCTGTAGCTATTTCTTTAATTCGTTTTCTGTCTCTTTCGCTTTTTCCCTTCTTTTTGAGGTTTGGTATCGATTCTTTATCATGTTCTTTAAGTTTTTTGAGAGCTTTTTTTACTCTGCCTGTTTTTTTAATATGTTTTTCCAATGTTTCCTGTCTGCGTTTTCTTCTGTCCCGTCTCATATTTTCTCTAATTTACTTACTTATCTCTGCTAACTTTCTTATTCTTTCTCTTTCCGTTGTATATGTATCTTTACTTAGACTTTTACGTTCTGGCTGGCTTGTAAGTTTCTTCGCTGAATTTGTTTCTGTTAGGAGTGGCTCTCCTTCTTCCAGTTGATTGTTTAAGTTTTAGTTCCATTTTATTATATCTATCTAATAGGTTTAAGTCTTCGTATCCTATTTGCGTTAGAGACATAAGAGTGGACTTGTGTGGTGTTCCAGAAGTAAGTCGTTGGTTGCAGTATCTATGTATTTTATTTCTATTAAATTTAGGCCTGGATATCCTGAGGCAACTTCTTACCATGCGGTAATTAGTGTTGAAGTTTAGGTTTTTTATTATTGTTGTATCACTGAAAGCTTTGGGATGGTTACAACAGATGTAATCAATTTCATTTCTGTACTTTGCATCCGGAGAGATCCAAGTCCACTTGTTGTTTTTCTTCTTAAAGATAGTGTTTTTAGTATCGTAAGATTGTGTTCCAAAGTGAACTCTATTAGTTTTTGCCCATTGCAGCTCCTTTTTCCGTAGCCATATTTTCCAATTGTAAATTCTTCCTCTGTTTGTTTTTCTCCTACTTGAGCATTAAAATCTCCCATTACTACAATATGATTGTTAGAGTACATTCCAATTGTTTCTGAGAGGTCATTATAAAAGGAGTCTACTACTGACTGTTCGGCCTGTTCAGTAGGTGTACAGTCAACCCTCCTATAACGCGGTACTCTCAAAACGCGGTTTCCATATAACGCGGAGCTGAAATTGCGACAGCCCTCCTATAACGCGGTACTCTTACAGCGCGGTCTCCGTTCAACAACGTCCCATCAGTTCTTTCCGTGCACCCAATGAATGGTTTTAACTGGATATGTTTATATCAGCGTGGTTCACGGGTGGGTGGTTCTCCTCATGCGCTATCTTCCACTTCTATTAACTAAATAGTTTCGCATCGACAGCGTGCCATGCGTGTGTGTGTCTAACGAAACTGTAACATGAAAGATATATATGTGATCTTTTGACTACATTGTCGCGTGAACTATAGAAAAACTACGTTCTGCTTATGTCTTAGCCGCTTAAAACCAATGTGTAGATCAACCAAGTGAGGAAGACATTTTGCCCATTAAAAGAAGGCGAGTTAGGCGACTCATATCTGACAGTGAGGATGAGTGTTGAAAGATTACATCATTTTACAAAAGTCTTTCTTTTGTTTTTGTTGGAAAACAGTTTTTTAGTTTAGTTTTTGTTTCATTTTTTTCATCATTTACTTATTTTTATTGAATTGAAGAGTTCATACTCTTCAATTCAATAAAAATAATTTATAATTTATCTTGTCTTTTGTATTTATTGGTCTCCATATAACGCGGTACGAATGATGTGATTTGTACTTATTCTGAGTCTCTTATAGCGCGGTTTCCATACAACGCGGTAGACGGTTTCCATAGAACGCGCTACGAATTAGCCTGGTTTGTACGGTTAAATCCGAGTTTCTTATAGCGCGGTTTCCATACAACGCGGTACGCACTCACCGCGTTATAGGAGGGTTGACTGTATATATTTGAATTATTACCAACTCTTTCAAATATGTACGAATTTTGAGGCGAACGACAGCTATTCTATCTGTGACACCAATAAATTCGATTATGTCTCTCTTATACTTAACTTTTATTACTTAACAATGATAATTATTGACTATTATACAATTATAATATTATCAATTGATATTTTTTAAATTTTTAATTTGCAATTTTTGAGTACCTGACTTTTTATTAGTAAAAAGTCAACTCACATACTAATAGAATAAGGAAGAAAACACATTTAAATATTATTTGACACATCTTCTTGTAGCATATTGTACACTGTGTAAAATATATAATAAATTGTTTGCTAAAAAAATTATAGATCTACAAGCAAATCCAGGCGATCGAGATCTCGCTCAACTTCAAGGCGTCACCACCGTTCAAGTTCCAAGTCACGGCGGAGAAGTAGATCTCGACACCGATCTAGGTCAAGGAGACGGTCCTTATCCAGATCCAGAGTAAAATCCCGTCACAGATCATCACCCAGGCATAGGACTAGAAGATCCAGGTAAAGTTATATTTACTGATATTACATTATACCTCTTCATATCGCTTTCGTAATTATTTCCACTCCTTTCTAAATGGTAACAGCTTTTTTAACTCGCCTGCAAATCCCAGGGGATTGTTGCGGGTACTCATAATCATTCACAATCATGTATGCTGCAACCATTTATACCTTATTTTATAAAAAAAAACTAATATTGAGATAAAGTGATTTTTTTTTGTTTTGAGTGTACGTACAGTAGACAGAGGGACATCACTTAAAATATTTTACCTACTTAAAAATTGTGTGCGAGATGAAGCCAACCACAGATTCAGGAATTTGTACTGGCTCTTGGGTAAAAACTCGTAACCTCTCAGTAGAGAATAAATTACTTGTCTATAAGGTAGCCATCAAACCAATTTGGACCTATGGCATACAATTGTGGGGAAGTGCTAGTAGCTTCAACATTGAAATTCTCCAATGGTCAGAGGCATCTTTTAAATAAAAAGTCGTGCACTCACTGGACTGTAGACTTGCATAGTACTTTACCAACCAATCTGATTATAGTACAATTACTGATTTCGGATATACAAGGAATAGAAAAAAAAATTTTTTTCACTATTTTACATTTACAGTACCATTGGTTTCTGTATTCATGATTTTTAATAAATATTTATATTATTATTTATAGATCACCTAGCGGAGTAAAATTAGCGGATAGTGAGAAGAAACGTCTTCTAGAAGTAGCAAGAAGAAATGCAATCAATATGCTTAAAAATGGCGCTGTCCCTGCTGGCGCTGCGGCGCTGCCGCCACACACAAGAAACCAAGTCATGGCCGCCATACAATCTGGTGGTAAGTCAAAGAAATAATATATACTAATTTTACAATTACATTCTTAATACTAAATATGTTAAATGTCTAATATATTTATTGATATTTTATCTGGTAAACCTAATTGTCCTTATAATTCGAGGTTCTGTCTAAATAAAAAAAAAACGCTGATACACTATGTATCATTAAGTTTTATGTATACACAAAGTACATATTTGCATTGTAATTTTGTAAAGACACTAGTAACATAGTAGACAATGTAATCAACAGGTAAATCGGTAGATGAACTGACAGACTTTTGCAAGCATTTATCCAAGAAAGAAGCCCTCGGTGAACTGTCTTCTGTGTCGTCTAATGACGATGATATGAGTGAAAATGAGGACACCCTAGCATTCCATCATCCATTCCTTGTAAAAGAAAAAGCACCTATAGTAATGAATATAAGGGTGAGTTCATCATATTAAAAAGTAACTATTATATATATTTATTTTACCAGAGGTAGATGTTAAAAAATGTCTGTATGATATATCTTTCTCTGATTCACCTATTTCAGCCGCCATGCGACTTACTTTGTAATCTGCAGTTGTGGTCAGTTGTAGGATGCGACTTTGCAGTGCAATTACAGGATAAAGCATAATGTTCACACACAACATCCAACATATTACAAATATAACGTTTTAGTCCTCTGAAATGTCAATGAGAAGCGTCACATGATAATATGATTTCCATATCATATCTGTTTTGCTCTTCATAATCGGCGATGGTTTCCACTTGCCATCATGTCGGCCGTCAGTCAAAAAAGTAAAAATTATAGATTAAATCCATTATTTGAGATTACATACAGATGATACCTAAATCTGACTGTATGTATCTAAATCTTTAAATCTTTAGATTGATATAATAGATATTTCTATATATATTGAGAAACAAGTTATAGAATTGTTATGGATTCAAAATCCATAACAATTCTATAACTTGTTTCTTATGATAATAAAAATTACATTAAATATTCACTAAAACTGGAACCTACAATGTATGTTTGATAACCTATATAACATATTATATATTGTAGTAGAAATATCCACATTTTGACATTTTTGTAAATTAAACATAACACTCTGTATAAAAGACAAATTTCTGTGCAAACCATTCATACAATTTCTTTCTTTAATAAACACACAGGGTGGCGCTCCACTGCCTATTAAAACCAGTACATTGCCTGTGGCCAATAAGGATGAACTCAGGCTGCAATTTCCAGTGTCTTCTGGCTCTCAACATAGAGAGAAGGCTTCAGAATGGGTCCCTGTCTCACCTCCTAAAAAGGATATGGTAATGTCATTTATACAGCTAATCTTGTATACAGTTTCTGATTATATCTGGATTTCAGAGTGGAAATGCTGCCAGCATTAATGGAATATTTCGGCCGAGTATCAGACTGCACATTGTATGTCCATAATTGTCTTGTTCTTTAATGAAGAACAAGACAACAGGAATAAATTAAGAAAATAACATGATATTTTTAAGTAAATAGAGATAGAATATAATGGACCCATATTCAGTCACGTGATTTGCTCTTAGATACAATTTCAATGTATTGATATCTGTCTAGAAATAGTCTGATAAATGAATAGTATATCAGACTATTTCTTTCTCTTACCAAGCAGTACAGTAGTAATGACACTTTACTTGTACAGTAAATCTAAAATAAACTTACATTTAATGGTGTTTTCACAGCAAGTAGCGAAGCTGAACTCAAAGCCAGCAGCAACAAAAACAATTGCAGCTATCACAGCAAGCACTACAGAAACGACCAAGTAAGATGTTTTTTTATCAATATAAAAAGTGTTATAATTATTTAATTAATAATTAACATTGCAATTGCATAAAATATGTGACCGCATGTAATATTGTATCCTAACATTTTGAAACACAAATTATATAGATATAAGATAAATTTAAGTAGAATATTGAAATTCGTTAATAATATCCCAATAAAAATGTAAATTATATTACTTTTATTGAAATAAACATAGCTATCAGTCAGTAGATGTAAATCACACACAAGAGTAATCTTTGCCTAATATTCTGGCAAAAAGTGTAAATCATGGATGAATATTATTTGATAGTGAAGACCCGTAAATTAAACCTGTAAAAAATTAAACTATAATATATTTCAGATTCCGTTAATATTAATTGTCATAAGCCATTGCCATTTTACATGTAGCATATCTATTTTAATGTGTCAATTTTCTTTTTCAGATCTGGTCCGCTTGCTTTACCCGCGCCACCTGTAGTCGAAACGCCAGCGTATATGAAGAGTTTTACGACAGGAAGCCGTAAGTCATAATCAATTATACATTAAGCTGAACGACAAATTTTGGACTATAGATAGCACTGGATATAAAAAAACGACTATTACTCAGGTGGCCATGTGGTTTGATATAGTACTTTTCTGATATTCCCGGCTGATGTGCCCCATCATATGAGGCTTTAACTATACAGTTGATATATAGATGACTGTTGCCACTTTCGTCAGTTTGTTTACACTTTTATAACTTTAAATATTGATAAATAATTTAAGTGTTGCCATATGTTTTATTAAAATATTAATTATTCGTTTCAGAGTTGTCCTCCGTGCCTTCAGCGTTACCGGCGCCCGGACCACAAGCATACCCACCAAGTATTGAAGGAGCCAAAATAGTGAGTTACTGTTAGGAAATCTGTACTGGTATTATAAAAATAATAGCAAATATATTTGTTCATCAATCAGGTATCCACTACTAGGTCTCATTGATATTTATATAATAACCATACTCACCATATACTACCAATAGTAGCACCAAAACTAGAGATTTCTGTTAGGAAATCCATTAAAACAAATTTTTCTGTGCTTAATTCAAAGCTGTCTATAATTCAAATACTGAAATGTTCAAATGATTTCTTTAAAATTTTATATATAGATACCTAAATGCATGAGATATAACTTAACTTTTTAAGTACAAGTGGTTTTATTATGTGTACTCCTAATTTAACTATAGAAAAATAAATTTCCTTATAGGATGTAGCGTCGATTGTTTCACAGAAAATAGCAATGATACGCAAAGAACAAGAGGAAAATGAACTGTCTAGCACCTGTGGGGTAAGTTAAAATATATTAACCTTTTGAACGCCAAAGGAAAGAGACTTTATTACACTTCAACAACATTTTTTGTATATATTGAGTGTTGTCTTCGCCAATACAGATTTAGATTATACTTTCATAAATACTATTAGTTAATTTCTTTTCATACTCTTAATAGTATATATTCTATCACAAGAAAATTACTTCCAATAATAAAATCCCGCTTCACGTCGGGGATATGTTCCAATAAGAGTCAGCTCTAAACGAAACAGTATTGAACGAGCCTATCTTTCTTTTAATCACTACTCGGAATCACTACTATTACTTTTTGTTTACTAGTACTACTACTAATTTTTGTTTCTTGCTCAGTTAATTCCTTGAGCTTATTATTAGAAAGACTAGTTGCTTTCTTGTTTCTTGAACTATTTCCTCGACGTCTCTCCGTTATGTTTCGAATCCCTGGGTTGAAACAAACAAGCGCTAAACCGAAACGGCGGTAAGCTGGATATTACTGTACTTGAATATTTATTAATATCTGAAATTAAAAATAATAATTATAATTCACTATTTATTTCAACAGTTTGGCTGGTCTTCAAAGGATTCAACTTTGGGTCAGTTCACGGGGTCCACAGGAGCACAGATTCTTACACCTAGAGAATTGGCAAGTGGAATACAAGCTTGGGCTAAGAAGGTATACACTGATTTATGTTATATACAATTTCAAAACCAGAGTAGTGATATCTTGAAAAGCAATTCAATGTCAGTTTCTTTTAAAATGATCCAAATGTGTTCTTTATTTATCACAAACTTCTATTTTATAATAATATATATAAATATATTGTACAACTTATTGTGATAATAAAAGAACAGGTAACATTAGCGTAAAGAAATGTAAAGTTTCAAACAAAACATGACTATTATAATGCTATTTTATTTTGTACTAAACTCCCTATCTAAATCCAATTTGCAGTCAATATTTCGCTTTCTGCCCATCCTACTTACATTTGTTCCATTTTACCATTATATCCACCACATATATTTAGTACAAATATATAGCAGAAGTAAGTCGTAAGGTTTGTTTGATACTTTAAGTCTGTCCAAATGAATTTTCTTTCAGCTCAAAGTGCCATCGGTCGGGATTCGGGTACTCTGATGATCCAGTATGCGGCTTCTAGGTCAGAACTTATAATACACATGTATTATGCTTTCTGACCTCTTTCATTATGATTGTGGGGTGATGATTTCAACAACATTCAATATTTGCCAACATCAAAATTATAGAAACCCATTATTTGGCTATTAAAAATTTTTTGAGTAGTATGACATATATGTTATAAATTAATGTAACATATTATATATAATATTTTAGACAAATACATGTTATGCATTCGCTGACACATTAACTACCTACTTATTTATCAATAAATTTTATCATAGTCAGTCATAGTATTATTTAATAATATGACACATATATTTTACATAACATTATAATGTACTTACATCATTGCTATTGACAATTTACTGATAGGTTTTTTATCATTATAATCTCGACGATAGATAAAGATAACATGATAAGCAAAAATGTACTACACGCTTGAGAATCAATTAAAATTTCTTATATTCGACTAGTTTTACATACAAAATAAATATTTAACCGTAAATTACACACTCACTTACACTAACACAGACATGGATAGGCTATATATAATAAACTATTTTATAAATTGGTACCATACCATAGATAATACATATTAGAGACAATTAATTATTTAGAAATAGAAATATTATTATTAATGCGTTAAATATATTAGAATGCATTTTTAGTTGGTTAACAACATTATTTCGGTATGACTATTACACAAATTATTAGAATACACATAACACCATGCATAAAAATATTGCCACTTTGTCTACGTATTTACTAACAAAAAGTAATTTAGTATTTCAAATATAATATATGTAAATTACATATGTTGTTGTTGTAATCATCACCCTTAAAATCGAGTTCTCGGTTCGTGTAAAGAGAGAACTCGCGCAGTTCGATCGTTACACCGTTAAATGTCTTAGTATCAACAAGTGATGGTAATTCTCGTGCCACTGTGTATGGCACGCCGATTATCATTACCGAATTTTGCACACAAATATTCAGTTTTCCCCTTTTGTTGACTGACTAATTTTTAGCTCCCGTTGTGTACTCACATATAAATGTATAGATAAATGCTTATTATTTTATCATGTCACGTATATTTTGATAATCGCAATATCAATGTCATCTTTATGTATGTAATATATTTCAGCCTTTGATAACTGTGTATACAGTAGTATGTTTTCGTACTTATATAATTTTGATTATAGTTATGAATATTAATACTATTATTGCATATTCTCATATTAATCATATTTTATTTCTTACTACTCTTATTGGTATACTATCTTTATCGTACTATTTTCCTTCCATGTCAGTCTCATATAAATATTATATATAAAAGCCTTGCGATTCTGTGAAGTTGTCTATTATATATCAAATAGTTTCTATATTCCGTAATAGATTGACGTCATAGAAAAGCATGGCTGCTATGGGGAATTCGTGAATATTTGTTGCAGCTTTTATGTGATAAGGAGATGCTCGCACCTCGTTACCGCATGGTCGACAGGTGATAGGGGCAATGTTCCCATGAACGTGAGGTAAGTATCTATAGACGGGGAATAGGTACAATTAATTACCAGCGCTCGAAGAATAAATATCTCCATGTCAGTAGCTTTTCATCCCCAGAATATAATAAAAGGTGACTAAAGCCAGATATGCTACACCAGTATAAGAGAAGGAAGTCTCGGGATAGTCTAGTCTAAATCTGATAGTCAAAATCACCTCTTATTGGTGAGACTCAGGCTTAACAATAAGGCGTTCATAGTTTGTTATGTTGGAAATAGAAATAGAAAATCATTTATTCAAATAAACTTAATTTAAGCACTTTTGAATAGTCATAACAATTTGTTTTTTATCTACCACTCGTTCGGAAAGCTGTCTCATCACAAGAAGAACTACAATAGTAAACTATATAGTATAATATAAGTTAGTATAGTATAATATATAACTATAAGTTGGAAACTAAAATACTACTTACCGTTACCAATGACCTTTTGAAATGCAGAATTTGATCTGAGATGGATGACTTAATCAAAAATAAAACAATTATTTGATACAGTAATTAGCAACACATTTTTGACATTTGTAAGGAAGATTAGTAGTTATGAAAATATTGGAATCTTATTACAATATATAATATTCGAGTCATCTTATCATAAAAATATAATTTATATTGATATGTATGTTACGTTGTATAAACAATATTTATTATATATATATAGGATCAACTAGTCCGTGCTGCGCCTGTTGAAGGTGGAATGGGTATGCATCTACTTCAGAAGATGGGTTGGACCCCAGGACAGGGGCTGGGCAAAGAAGGTACAGGAACTCTCCAACCTTTGCTGCTAGAGGTTAAGTTGGACACAAGAGGGCTACAGTCAAAAGAAGAGATTGGTAACAGACCAAACAAAGGTGTAAGTAAAGTTTCAATAGCTCTGGTATTAATTTGTGTTTAAAGTTTGTCCTATAGTATATTATAATCTTATATATAAAATTCTCGTGTTTTTTTTCACAGTTTTCGTTCCTACACTCCTCCGAAACGGCTTGGCCGATTCTCATGAAATTTTGTGAGCGTATTGAGTAGGTCTGAGAATCGGCCAACATCTATTTTTCATCCCCCTAAATTTTTTTTTTTTAATTTAAGGCAAAAGAACGTTTGCCGGGCCGTTTGCCACAGCTAGTAATATATAAATGACCATACTTCGCATAGCTAATTTTTATAATTGTATCATTGTTGCAAATTCAGAATTCTTATATGGTAATGCAGCAGTTTGATCTTGGTATCAACATAATTGTGTGGTAATTCCTATTAGCTAGAGTTATTGTTCTTATATCATTTTGCAGATGAAACCTCATCGACAAACACGTGGAAGGGGCCCAGCTCCATTAATAGCGGGTGGCAAACACCCGGTGTCATTACTAGGTGAATACTGCTCTAAACAAAAACTCGGTCCGCCAGAGTACAACCTTTGCTTCGAGTGTGGACCTGACCATAAGAAGAACTTCTTGTTCAAAGTTAGTAATATAATAAAAATTATATAACTAACCCATATAAGAAAACTTTGTGAAATGATAATGAATGTGTTATCACATGATTGCAAATGATAATTAATAACTATTATTTCTGAATGCCTATTTCTAGTAATTGTAATATTAGGATAGAAGGAATTCCCATACAACATCCAATAAAACACCGCATTGTACAACTACTGTTATTGATGCTTTATTAGCATCTAAAAGTCAGCAAATCTTTAAAGGTGTAAAAATACTTTGTTCCTTTGATCATTTCTGTCAGGAAACCTATACAGTAGTTTCTTAGTGTTGAATAAATAACAGTTTAGTATAGAAAGTTAATATTACATATTTTATTTTTACTTAAAACCGAATGCAAACACTAAACTAAAACTATTATCACAGGTAAAGGTCGCAGGTACTGAATACCAACCGGCAGTGGCAAGTGCTAATAAGAAACAAGCGAAAGCAGATGCTGCCCAACTTGCATTACAAAAAATTGGTATTGTAACTCCATAGGATCCAGTAGCTTTATACCTTATTGTATAATATAAAAATATCCTAAAAATGATAATGTAAATTTCTCAAATTAATGTAACATTGTTTATAACTTTATTATACATTTTATGGAATTTGTGTGAACTTTCATTATTGCGTTCTATATCATACTGCAACTTAAATTGTCTTTATTATTACAATACTACAATAGAAAGTGAATAAATAATTGAACCTCAGCTATTCAATGGGTATACAAATACATATATTACAATTGATGCATTGCCAATATTCCTCCATTCATTTAAAGCAGTCAAGTTGAAGGAAATTCAAGGTCAACACATAAAATAAGATGAATAAAAGATGGATCTAAGCTCAATTAAAATTTATTTTAAACAATAACATCTACAATATAGGTACTACAATGAAATTTGTTTCTCAATTAATTTGTCAACAGCAATTACTACTTTCAAATCAAACATTTTGTAAATTATATATTACACTCCAATAGTTAATGCAACAAAATCTTAGTGCCACCTACTGATACATAGCTAAGTCATATATATAAATAAATATAGAGTTTTATCTTCCTCATCAATCTAAAAATCACAGATCTGTTCCTTTGTTCCATTCCAATATTCTATTTATTCATTTTTACCAGGATTCTGGTTCTTGATTCTGTAGTCTGATAATGCTGCTTTAATAGCATCTTCAGCAAGCACTGAAATCAAATAAGACTTGATTAGTTTAAGACTGTAAATATTTCTTTCTGATTTTAAACTTTTATATGTACAGTACACTGAATAAATGAAAAAATGTCTAAATTGCAGATATTAAATTCTATATATATAATACATAGAATTTAATATACATTTTGATGAAAGTATAAAATTTTAATGAACAGTTTGTTTTTGTATTAACAAATATGTGTAGAAATTACAATGTAGTCTATTTGTCAAATTGTTGACATTACAAAAAACTAATGCAGAAAAATTGTTATGAAAATTTTATGCCAATAAACAGAAACTGTTCTACACTTAGGTTATCTTATTTTCTATTGGCAGGGTAGTACTCTCACTCAGTCACTATCAGGAGTATGTTATATGATTTTGTATTTTTTTTATAATCACAATTTCTTGCTATCATCTCTAAAATTTGACAAAGTACTTACTAGAACAATGAAGTTTAACAGGTGGCAAAGACAATTCCTTCGCTATATCTGTGTTTTTCAACTTCAAAGCTTCATCAACTGTCTTGCCCTTTACCCATTCCGTGGCGAGAGAACTGGAAGCTATGGCCGAACCACATCCAAATGTCTTGAATTTAGCATCAATAATTTTGCCATTGTCATCAACTTTAATCTGGAGCTTCATTACATCACCACAAGCTGGAGCACCAACCAAACCAGTGCCAACATTTCTGTCTTTCTTGTCAAGTGAGCCAACATTCCGAGGATTTTCATAGTGATCAATAACCTATACAAACAAGTGTGTAATGTACAGCATGATAATAGTAAGCAGATTGATATATGGTTTTATTTATTTTCATATTATAGTTTGTATTTAACATTGGACTAGAGTTTGTAATTTGTTACCTGTTATGACTTTCTGGGGATGAAACGTCATAACACTTATTATTTATATGTCGTACTTAATGCGTTTATAAATAATAGAGTTCATAAATTATGAACCCTAAAAATATTTACGATAACTTAAGTATTGGAGTAAATAAAAAATCTAAATAAAGTATTCAATCAACATTAGAAGACATCCTCTATTTAATTAATTATGTATATACATAGGTTTTAAAATAGAATATGAATGGATTGATGCGACATACATCGAAAGCAGAAAAATTAACTTACATTTGCATGGTACGATGCTTTTGGAATAACACTGCTATTCAAATTTTTTAAACTAACACACCTGCGTAAATTGGGGACCAAAAATGCCATTATAATAATTAAAAAGCGGACAAATGAGAATAAGTAGTAATTACAAAAGAATATCGACGAAAGTGATTGGAAACTACTGTAAAGTGTGAAAACACGCAGATGTCACTACTATTCTAGATTCTACCTTTTTTAATTTATTATGACTTTGGCTGTTCAGTTCAGTCATTTCAAAAGGGTTTCCAACTTTCAAGCGTTTTGGCTCCTAAAAAAGAGGCCTGTTTTATAATTTAACAGCAAAAATGTCTATTTTTTATTCACATATGACTGTTGTTTGAATGACATTTTTAATAAAAATTAGAACGTTGTTAAAACTTTAAAGCGTAATCTATATCATTTTTGGTTAATGACTTGCAACTATCGCAAATGGTATGGTACTGAGTACACTTGTTACTAGAGGTACAGGGTTGTTTAGTTATTAAATATAAAAAGAAAATGTTTATCGTCATAATAAACTTTAAATTTATTAACTATATAAGACAAAATATTTAGGGCTTAAAGCCCTAAATGTTTTCAATCAAATACGTACAGAGTGCTTTTTAAAAACGAGAACTACTGCAGCCTATAAAAATGGCGGTCAATTAAACTAAAAGTAACTTAACAAAACTGTAGTAACGAATACCATTTTATTTATAACTAGTATAGGTATTCCAATTGCCGTTACTTTTGCTATCATACATGGGCCTACTCATATCTGAGTAAGATCATCGATATACCTAGTTGTTTGCAAAAATAAAAGTAATTATCAATTCGATTTATTAATTATATTTGTAAATAAATAAATATTTAACATTAATTAAATATCACACATTATAGCAGAGTTACATCAGTTACATCATACACTTAGTAATATATATGCGTGTAATATACACATATTATTTATTCGAGTAACAAATAACTGGGACAAAATCTTTGCCATCAAGATGTCGAAGCGTGGGTGTGATTGCCCACTACCTACACCTCCGCAAAATATTTGTGTATATTATATGTGGTGGTTATAGTTATTTTATACTATACATCTTACACATATATATATATATATGTATAAATTGTTCGTATTTTGCGAGATGAACTCTAAAACTATTTAAATCATTTTTGCTTATTGGTCGAACTTAAAATGGTTAACGCTACATATCTATTCTATTAATAAAACATCACCTAATTTGAAAAATTAAACTATAATGTTGAAGTAAGCATAATAGTAAATACGCAGTTTTTTGTTAAAAAGGTTTCACCAATATTTTTCCAGAGACTTCACCAAATCCTTAGGATCTACATTAGGTCCATGACGTTCAACTGGAACGCCTTGTTGGTCAATGATGAACTTCGTAAAATTCCACTTGATGGAATCGCCCAGTGTACCGCCTTGCTTATGCTACAAATAATTAATATTTTTTTAGGATTGGATTGGCAAATTGAAGACTCCAGAAGGAAGTGATACTATCAACAAAAAAGGGTGGTACATTCTACAGCTTCTAAATCCTAGTCCTATAAAAACATGTCCGGCAGTGGAAGGACAAATGGTAATTAAGGAAATTATAAAATTATAAGTTACTAGCTATGCTAGCTAGCTATATGTAATGATGTAGTCAATTTTGTTAGCAATGCTCTTAGAGGTATGTAATATTATCTTATTTAAGCTAGAGGTACACTATATTTATTATTGGAAATTGGCTAACGAAAATAATTACCCTATCATAAAAAAATATTATAAATAATGATCACACCAAAACTAGAATCGCTATAAAACATTATTTTTTTTATAATTAAATCCTAACAGGTATATATACTAAAATTATGGTATAGTATATTATATTATCTGTGTTAAATGTGAATAGTTTCTTAATTAAGACCTAAAAATACCTTTAAGAATTTCCACAATGGAGAAGCATTATCTCCGTTAACATCAATTTTCTCATACAAGTCGAACTTTACTTTACGATCAGCAGCAAAACACATGATTTCTTCAGAGCTTCCTGGTTCTTCACTGGCGAACTGGTTACATGGAAATGCCAGAATTCGCAATCCTAGAAAGATTTGTTTCCATTTCCATTAAGTATATCGTCGTAGGTATGATAATTTTAAAGTTTTAAATCTATTACTAATACAAACAAGAGTTTATTATCATCATATATGAATTTTATTATAATAAATCTCACTGATCGTTATACAAAAATGAACACCAACCTTTGCTCTCTGCATATTGCTCATATAATTCATTAAGTTGCTTGTAGTTGTTTGCGGTAAGCCCACACTTTGAAGCAACATTCACAATAATACAGACATGACCTTTATATGTGTCTAGTTTAACGTCTGTACCTTTTATATTTTTTACGGTGAATTCATGAATAGACTTAGCCAGTTTGAAATCAGGATCAGATGCGGTCATTTTTCTAGAAGAAAATGCAATATTGATAGAATTATATGGAAAGAAGAAATTGACCGTTAATCTCTAAAATAAATCATTGATATGTGTATAATATTCTACATCTTTCCACGCCTATTTTGTATATAATGTATTTTTAGGTATTTTGCTATGGAATTCTAAATTATCGATACAAATAAGATACTAGCAATGGCGAGCAAGCAATTATAATTCTGCAAAAGCTATTATAGGGAACGGCATTAAATTTAATATTATCTTATTTGTATAAAATTTGGTTTAAATTTTTCTGATTTTGTGCAGATAGTACAAATAGAAAACAGTATGAGAAGTGTAACGACATTTAGTGCACGTTGAAGGTACAATAATATTCATTAGTGTGAAATATATAAGCCAACCAAATACTTTGTGTCACAAAAAGTAAATGCAATTGACAATTTGTTTTACAGCCACATAAAGAAACAAGAGAGGAAAGAAATATTGACTACGAAAAGTAAAGCTATTTATTATTCTATAAATGTTTCAATTACTCAAGTGATGTCACTTCCGCAAATATGAATAAATAAAATAAAAAGAAACATCACTTGAGGAATTGAAACATCCGCAAAAGAGACAAGGTTTTGACTATGCTAGGCGAGAAAATATATTGTAACTTAAGTGACAAGCCTGTAGCCATAAATATTATGTATATTTCTGATTTCGTCAAGTTTAGTCCTTTTTCTGATAACACACTGGGTTGCTACCAGTACGAGGTACCCTCCGAGGACAGCATGATGTACAAGATTTTGACATAAGGATATTTATAAATAAATCCATACTGCAATTATCGAAGATAATTTTAAATTAGTGTAAAATTGAAATAAATGAACAAAATGATAATTTCAAGTAATAGCTATTATAATAGTAATATAAACATGTTTATTTAATTTTATAAGTTATATGCACGTTGTTTAATTAATGTATTATTATTTATTATTCTACTCAAGATTTTTACTCTCCCAGACGAAAAAATTATAGTTGGCAACCCTGTTCACGTAGAATGTAATTGTTTGGCTGAAAGGAGACTTCCAGGGCCGTAAAATACTTAATAAAAAATAAAAAAACTACCTAGCTAAAGTCACCGGATATGCAAATGTCTATTAATAAATATGAGAATATTTATTTATACAAACAAGTAGGCTACATATAGTACAGATTTCCCCCATATTTTGCTGTGTATTTTCACTTATTGGTGCCGTTAACTGTTGGTAAAATAAACGACAAATTATTACAAATATATAGCCTAACAATATACTTGTCAAATTAGTTTACTATTACTACATAATATTATTTTAACTGTACTTTTACTCACATGGTAACCAATTGAGACCTTGTTAAATAAAACAGGTTTCCAACTAATGGAACCGCAAGCTTTGTTATAGATTTAAGGCCAATAAATTTCATATTTGATATTAATGATTTTTTTTCTTTTTAATAATTTTACAGCTTTGGATACTAGAGCTTTAATATTCCTGGTGAAGTGAGTATGCAGAACTTGTAAATGGTTAGGGGCAAGAATGAGATTAAAAAAACAAATGCCTGTGCAGTATGTGTATGTATGTGTCCCAGTTCTGGGAAAAAATAAAACTGTAGTCAGGCAACATTAACTATGACTGAAATATAAACTGTATTGATACCACAGATTGTAACTGTTCCGCGGAAGGTTCTCTAGTTTTCTCTGATCTTCGTCTTCAACTTCAAGTAGACATAAAAATTATTTGTTATTTGCTAATACATAATAAATTGTTTCATTTAATTCAGTACATCTTGGCTTAATACGTAAGTTTAATTATACATTAAATATGTTGTTACATATATTAATAGATTACAATCATATATTCTGCAGCAGCTCTCTCGACTTCATTATTCACATATTTTATTTTTATATTAATAATCCATTACCAGTATAGTTTATTAATGGTATATCTCTAAATAAGGAGTGGTTTCATTACGGTTGTTATGGTACTATGAAATAAATTATTACTTAATTTAAATTACCTAAGTTTTATTCTATTTGTAATATAATTTGTTTGTGTGTATCTCTGTACCTAAGTATATATAAATATATATTACACAATATGCACTACATATGCATATATACTATATAGTAGTATTGCATTCACACTTCAAGCTAGTTGCAAGAAATTTCTAAAAATAAGAATTTTTTAACTTTTAATAAATTAAAATTTTACTCTTTATAAAATTTCTTTAAATTTTTGTAATGCTACCACATCTAAAAGACTCATATCTAGTCAATGTAAAAAAATCTAGTTGTGTGTCTGGTCAACCTCCATATTCTGGATATTATAGTTTGAGTTGAGAGTTTATTATGTGATTATAATTTTTAAAAATGTTTTGGTGAATGATTGCAGAAAGATGGCAGAAGCAAGTAATTTCAATTACAACACAGCTACATCTATCCATGAATTCACTGTCAAAAATATAAAAGGTGAAGATGTCACCCTGGATGTGTACAAAGGTCATGTCTGCATCATTGTAAATGTTGCATCGCAGTGTGGTCTCACTGCAAACAACTATAAGCAGCTTAATGAATTATATGAGCAATATGGAGAGAGCAAAGGTTAATGTTTGTTGTTATTATTGTTTACTCCCATTTATTTATTTTCTCCTCTATTCATATAATATTGAATTAGCCACTGTGACAATGAGACATGATATCTTCATGATAATGACATAATTAATGTGTTGTTAACTTTTTATGGTGATAAAGGTATGCACTTGTAGTCATACCTTTATCACCATAAAAAGAACTAAACTAAAATCGGCACCTGTGAGTCCTAACTTATATAGTCACTATTGTTACTATCATTCTAAATTCCTAGATAGACCTAACTTCATCCTCATCCTATCAATGAAAATGAACTTAGGTAAATCAGTGAATTATGGTAAACTCATAGGGAATCACAATCAAAAAGTCACAATAATTGTCTTTGTTATTGTTATTTTTTTAAGATGTACTGTGATTGTATACTAAATTTATTTGTGATTTGTAGGTCTGCGTATTTTGGCATTCCCATGTAACCAGTTTGCTGGTCAAGAGCCTGGGAACCCCGAAGAAATAGTTTGTTTTGCATCAGAACGCAAAGTTAAATTTGATTTGTTTAATAAAATTGATGTCAACGGCGATGGCGCTAGTCCACTGTGGAAATTCTTAAAGGTTAGATAAATATTTACGTCATTTGTTATTTAATGGATGAGTATTTTTGTTTACTGTCTACATATATGTATATATATATATCTAAAGCAGATAATGTAAGTGTTATATTTTAAAATGAAATACTAATACTATTTTTTTCTATTTATACAATCCAGTCTTTATCTGATTATAGATTGTTATCAGGAATTAATGAGTTTTTGATGAAGCATAATTCCGTACTTATCAAATAGATACAAATACTGGCATACATAGCAGGTGTATTGATTTGTTTAACCTTGAGCTGTTAACTCAGTAACCTTTAACACATATAACGTAAGTGTTACAATAAAATCAATACCTCCTTTATATGTATCCGCATCTGGTGTATTCACACAATCAAATTAAATAGATTGCTAATTCATATCAAGGTAGTCTATTTCTTGCTATTACTGTATTGATTTTACTTACATTACCTATACCTACATACATAATTTTAATTATACCTATGGAACTATTGTTCTTGTACCATAATGTATATATATTATAGTACTTAATACCTCCTTATTTATGAATTTATGGTGCTGTTGAAGGCCAACTGCCGCCTGACGGATAGGACTTTAATCTGAGGGCAATGCTAGGGACCGTCGTAATTTCGATCCTCCTTTTAATTGGATTGGGGATCGATCGAAAGGCCATCTGTAGGTATAACATTAAATTGTAAGAGAATTGGCTGGAAATGTTCTTGTATTGTGATTTTTGCACTATTGGTGAGTTTGGTTGTTTGCCACTGCAAATTGTAGTCATATTCCGTATAAGCGCTTTTACGATATTTTGACACCTCAATTACTCTAGTGTGATGAAGATGATATAAGATTTATATTTTTATTTATTTGTACAGAAAAAGCAAGGCGGTACTTTGGGCAACTTCATCAAGTGGAATTTTACCAAATTCATCATTGACAAGAATGGAGTTCCCGTCGAACGCCATGGACCCAATGTTGATCCCAAAGATTTGCTCAAGTCGTTGGAGAAGTACTGGTGAAAAACAGACAAAAATGTATCTAATATTTAAGTTAGCTGTATCATGGTACCATTATAAAATGGATACGCCATTTGTGATTTTTAAGGGTGATTTGTTATAAATCTTTAAAATCTATAGAATAACACACTTATATGACTGGTGTTAGATATACATATTAATAATTATGCTATTGTAGGTGGGTACTCCATATGTCCATAATTATTTGCAATTGTTAATAATATAATTGCTGTGGTAATTTCACCTCGATATTTTATAGCTTATCAACTTGATCCGCGATCTACTGGGTGTCAGGTACATTACACTATCCACCATTCCACACTATAGTAGAAAGAAACGGAGAGCTGTTTTACCTTCTTCTATCGCCATTTTGATATTCTAGCTTTGTCACGATTTGTAGGGTCAGACAATCCAGTTAAATCATAGGACATGAACACATATTGCTTGAGAAATTAAGACACATTAGGGACGTCACAATGTATTTCATATTTCCATGATGGTGGTATTTATGTGTATATGTTTAGATGTCGCACACCACATTCAATATGCTGCCCAGACCTTAATGGAGTGCCATACACAATTATGTATTCATGCAACGCATAATATTATCCAGGCACAATAATTATAAGTTTTTAAATGTTTTATCTTGTGTTCTTGGATTTTAGTTGTTGTCTAGTTATTACATTCACACCTAATCACTATCATATCGTGAATTATATTATAGTCTTATCGATGTAAAATGTTAATGTATATTTGGTTGTCATAATATATATTTTTTTGTTAACAAGTGTTTTCCTTATTTTCTGAAAGAATTCTTCCCTATACTTATAGGTATATACTGATCTATACCAATAGCTTACGAGTGTAGTCAGTGTAATCAGCGTTACCTTCAATATATACAAATTTTTTTTAGGCTAATAGTGTAGTTTACCGTGGTGTATTCGTGAATTCACATTTCACCGATTCTTACGGTCAAAGCATAAATAAATTAAGACTGTAACATATTTTTTTGTATATGATTACTAAAAAAATCCTTGTTTTATTATATATTACCTATTCGTTCTCTATTTTGGACAGACACACAACCTTTTTTTGAAGTTGGGGTATGTTAAGTTTAGTTAATAGGAGCAGAAGTATGTATCTTGTCTATGAGATAAATTATCTCAGAACTTCTCACGTGCATACAAAACAACTGATAAAAAATATCTGTATGAAGAGCATGAGCTGTCAATATAAAATTATATAAATACACATTAATTACTAAATTATAAAAAATACGGATACTCAACGGGAAGACAACAAAATGACAAGACTTTCTTTTTAAATATTTAAACATATAAGAAACTAAACGTATAGTACCTAATGTACTGACGGTGGTGACTGGGAAACAGATACACCTAGACACAAATAAATATTACCTACGAACTAATTAATACATGCGGTCAAAGTGGGAGCGAGCGGTATATCAGCGAAATCTCTTCAATCTTAAAAGATCTTGGCGTATCTACTACTGGAGTAAGTTGTATAATAGAATGTATATTTTAAGCTGAATTAGCAGGCTGCTATCAGACTTGGCTGGATAAGGATAAAAACACAAGCAGTTAACGTACGTTGACAAGGGGGGTCCTTAAATCTACACCTGGATTATAAATCCCAGGAACTGCTAGGAGTTTCCCTCTGTCACCGAGTACCTACATCGAGCTTGGCTGCACAGTGAAGCTAAGTTGCTCACGCTTGTGAAAGGGCGCTGTTTATAGGGACTGGTCTGCTCTAATAACTATGATTGATTTATTTTGTTATTCAAGTGATTGTTTATTTATTAATGTCAAATTTGGTATTTGACAGTGTGTATTCGCAGAAGATCTTGGAAATTACTGAAAAACATTCACAAAATTTAACGACTATTGTATGTTTGTAGCAGCAGAACTAGGAAGAATGGTGGTCGAGAGATGACAACATTTACAGATGTATATGGCAAATGGTAGACATGTATATAGAAGTATATTACAAGCAGGTAGGCGCTTCGATCGTGAATGACAAGGCTATTATTCATTTTAGCATCGTAACTAGGCAACTGTGTTGCCGCACGATGTACGTAAATTCGCCACAGATAGAACAACACCCAAGTTTCATGCTCTTCCTTCTTATGATAACTGCGTTCCGAATGAGTATTACAATAAAAAATATGACTATTCGAAAATGCTCTTACATTAAGATTATTTGAATAAAGAAGATTCTATTCGTATATTTTTTTTTCAATTAATATAATTTACTTTTCATTATTTTGCTTACTATAATAGGTCAGTACTAATAACACATTTCACTGATAATCAATACACTAGACTTATAGACTAGCACGGTCAGAAGCAGTTTTAGACAAGATTACATTTAATTTAAAATCGGTGCAATGGCGCGCTGCCAGTCGTACCAACATCATAATGAGTTATAGTATATCTCAGATTTGTGTATGAACATGAAAGAGACTGCAGATAGCTTCCGTACTAAACATAGGCGCGACTATTTCTAACCAATCACAGAAAGCGTTTTGAAATTTATTCTGGCGTCGTTTGGCGTTTCATTTCTTGGATGCGTGTCTAGTTGTTTGTGGCGTGCTTGTGTGATTAAGTATAAAAGTTGTTTGTTATTGTCTGGACATCTATAAAATATATATTTTAGCGTCAGTGAATAAGCGAAACTAATTCTTAATTATCAATTAAAATTATATCCATGAGTTTTAATAAGAACTACTAGGTAAATATCATAGCGTGTGGTGAAGTGTTAAATATAGATACTGCAAAAAAACGTGTGGCCTTAAGTATTGTATAATTTTATTCCAGCATGTCTACGAGAAGCGGTCGAATAAGGCCTAGTGCGATAGAGACGAGTCCACCGCGGACTCGTAAAGGTGTATCACCGAACAGATCTCCCGCCAGAACGCGGAAAAGTTCGCCAGCCAGAAAAAGTTCGCCAGCGCGGAAAACTTCACCTCCTGCGCGAAGTAACCGAAAGTCGCCTTCTCGCAAATCACCAAGTCGAAAACCATCGTCACAGTTTCCTGCGCGAAAATCACCATCTAGGGCGACTAAAGAAACTGGGGAAAAGGCCTCGTCCAAATCACCCGTTAAGCGTCCAGCGATTAAAACATCCAAAACTAATGTATCTGTGAAATTAGAAGATTTATCTAGTAAATTAGATATTTTCCGTGGTACTCGTTCTAAGCGCTTAGAATATTCTGTCCAAGATCTTCCAAATGTAACAAAGGACAATTTGACTGATATTACTAGAGTGAATGGTTTGGAATCAAATTATGACGATATCTATGGGTTGAGAACTAGAAGATTTATAGATGAAACATTGCCTCGTCGGTCTAGTAGACTTAGAGACTTTATTGATAATATTCCCGATATCAGAAGAAGTCTCAGTAAGTCAGTCAGTAAATCCGTTAGTAAGTCTATCAGCCAGTCAATTGATACATTTTCTGATGAGGAGGAATCTGATAATGATATACAAAGAGAAAAATCTCAATCGGTGACAAGGAAACTTGCAACACCAGTCCGAAGTAGTGTGGGTAAACTGACTATGGTCGGTAGCCGATGGGAGTTTGGAGGACGAATAGGATCTGCATTGTTGATATTGCTAATACCCCTTACAGTGTTTTCGATAATAATTTCTTGTACTAAATTGTGTTCATTGAAGTCCCTCCTTGATGTGCATTTATTGACTTCTCTATCTGTGTGGTTTAGTTTGCCAGCATTTAGCATTGTCCTAATCCAATTTGTTATACAAGCATTTTTTGCTATTGTGCCTATATTTGGTACAAGATCTGACAAGATGGATGGTACTGCTACAAAATATACATTCAATGCATTTTTTGCAAGTTTCATCACTGTCAATACAGTATTTGTATTGGATTCCTTTGGTTTATTCAACAAAGATGCTATATTGAATGATTATCTGCGATTGGCTGTAGCGTCTTATCTCAGTGCTGTTGTATTGAGTATAGTCCTGTATTTTAAACGTCCTACAACTGATTACAATGAATTGAACCCATATGGCACCACTGGATATAAATTATATGATTTCTTCATGGGCAAAGAGATACATCCTTGTATAAAGAGGCTGGATGTTAAAATTTGGATATCAAGGATCTGCAACATAAATGCTGTGAGTATAATACTATATATTATAATAATAATAATATCTTTGCATTAGTGAACTGAATTTCCAAATGAATTGTTATAACTGTTTAATAAATAAAAAACTATAATCTGGTATTTTCGTAACATACTATATGTATGTGTTAACCTTATAGAAATAAAACAGGAATATTAGTAATAGGATAATTAGAACAATAATCCTAGCTAATGCTAAATGTATTTATCTGTGTATAACATTAATTGTATAAGAAATCAACCCATACTATTAATAATCATTAGTTGCCATCTATGCTATTCATTTAATATGCATTAAGTAACTAATGTGAAGTGTCTAAAATATTTTCTAAAAAAATTATTTAATAAAATGTTAAAACTTTTCCAATATTATTTTCAGCTCATATTGGTGGTCATTATATTGAAACATGGTATTCATCTGGAAGTGAAGGAGAATCAACCTATAACAATAGAGAATTATAAAGAAATCATTAATCAAGTGACACTGAATCCATCAATTTTGATGTTCTCATTTATGCAAATTATATACATTCTAAACTTTATAATTAAGGAACATAGAATAACATCAACATTTTTCTGGCAATCTGAAGGAGTTGGTTATCTACAGACAGTGTCAAGTGCCCTCTATCCATTCCTTTTCACAACAGTATCAAAGTTTGTGGTTGATAGTAAATTATCTCTATCCACTAACACCTTAATCTCTGCTTTTGTATTATTTTTGCTGGGATTCTTCATAATGCTTCTTAGTAACAATATTAAATATGAGTTCAGGAAAAATCCACTGCAACCCAGCTTAGCAAGTAAGTTGTTCATTAGTTAACATTTTAATAACTATTTTAAAATATAAAATTTTTATTGTGTCTTTACCTCTGTATAATGTATTTTTTATTTAAGTATATTTTTTATGTAGCTTAGGGGCGCTTTGTTGGTTAAATTTAAAGTAAATTTATTATTAGCTATTATTTTAATTTAAAAATGACCTATGAGAATCACCTATTTATCATGAATATTTGTCATACATGTCTTATTATTTCATCTTACTTATTCCTGTCTCCTATATCAATATTGTAGTTGTTGTATGGCTTGTTCTTCACTTTGAGCAAGTTCATTTATTGTGTGGTACATTTTTTGATATCCACATTAGTTAGCAGAAGTATACTCAAACATAGAGTTTTCTATTGTCATAAGATTTATATAAATAGAAAGCTTGCAGTAGTTCATATGGCCGATATATAGATAGCTGCCTATATTAAAATTTGTTCCATTTTTAAAGTCTGTCATTTTGTTATCATTCCAGATAAACTTATTTGTTACTAGTAAATAAAAATTGTAATAACCTATTTTGCACTAATTTTTTTTATATATATTATTTTTTCAGATCTAGACTCGATGCCTACTTTCCATGGGAAGAAATTATTAGTCGCCGGCTTCTGGGGTTTAGTACGTCATCCCAACTATATGGGTGATATTTTGGTGCAAATCGCGTTTGCGTTACCAGGTATATTGAATCAGCAATATGTAGTTGTAGCCCCACCAGTGTTGTCTATATTGGCACTGTTGCACCGAGCATGGCGGGACCATGCGCGCTGCAAACGTCGCTATGGAGCAGCATGGCAGAGGTACTGTAAGCGAGTACCTTCAGTTCTCATACCAAAGGTACTATAATAAGTGCCAGTGTTAGTAGTGTAAGTTATTGACTTTTATTAATAACTTTGGTATGTTGAACTACGCGTCATTCCGGTGACAGGTTACTTTTATATTTGAATAGGTGACATATAAGATATTATGTACATAAAAATATGTATACATGACGGAATGTTTATTATTGAAAGGAATTATCTTAATTTTATAAAGATCTCGAGTAGTATATATAATTTCTCTAATATTTTTTATTACATAGAGTATTATGTAAATTGTTATTACTGAGATTAGTATGCTGCCATAAATATACCACCGGACAAATTATTACAAATTAGCTCTCTTGACCTTATTTGGCGATATGTTATTTTACGAATATAAGTGGTGTTTTATTTACTATATGTTAGGCCATAGTGTGCTTAGGCGCGATTACTTTACACAAATATATACAATGGAAACTCAGTGAAATCTCGGAATATTTTTTATTTTTAAGGTATGACATAACTGTAGCAAAGGAATCTGCATGAATTATAAAAATAAAATTATGGTCTAAGTTTATAGAAGTTAATTCAAATAATTGATGGGTATTGGTATCTTTTTTTTGCCAACAAGGTAATATGTTTTACTGTAAACAAAATTATTTGGTGTATCCTTACATTAATTATAAATTTATTTGTATTTATCTGATTTCAAATATTATAATTTTTTAATTTACTTAATTGTGTGTGAATATTTTATTGTCATTTGTGTGCCTCGGAATTTGCCCCAAACTTGTAAAGAATTATAGATTATAGTTCGTTATTTAATTAATGCTCATATTATTATTATTATTATTATTAATAGACATATCAGACTATTGTTGTAAAACGTATTGCTCAAGAAAATTGTGCAATTTTCAATATTTACCTGTAGGTCTACTATAAGTGGTTCCGCCTCAGTTTTGGATCGTAATTTACTTAAATTTAGTTAAATGCTTGCCATCTCGCACTTAATATGACTTAAGTATTCTGTAATGTTAATATTAAATGTATAACTCACAAACAATAATACGGCACATCTAGGTTATTTTATGTATTTGAAGACGATTTTAATTTACTTATATTGGTAAAATTAATTTTATTGGTGTCAAAACATTACTTAATAAATATTTTAATGAACGAAAATGTTTTAATTATTATTTTCAAAACATCATTGTCATTTATAATGATGTTTTGAAAATACCTGCACTCCAAGTCTTAAGAAGAATAAAACACAGAACTCATTTAATTTATTTATTTTTCTATAAAATACACATACGATTTGTAAATAAACATTTTTAATATTCAAATATCTAATTACAGATATCGTTCCTAAATCAACGTCCATTAACGACCTTTGACCTAAGTACATCGTGTACATACCACAATTAGGAAAGTAGCACTGGGTATTATTGATAATTTGTTGATTTTATATTTCACTACCCTGGGAGTACAATTTTATGCATTATTTTTATCTGGCATAGGTATTAAATTTTAAAATGGTCATTAAAATTAATTATATGAAATCATACCAGAATATTACTACTTGTTACAACAAAATATGCAATATGATATTTGACACGACAATGACAAATGACTGATATGTTATTCATTTTAAAAAATAATTTAGAATTAAAATTTAATAGTCACGTGAAACATATTTAGTAGTAACGGATAGTTTAAAAAAACAATCTGATACATAATGAAATCGCATGCAATATACGTCCTATAGAACAAAACAGCGTAGATCTACAACTACTAACATCAAGTACCTGTAGATTTTAGACTAGAATGTGGACCTTATGGCCAAATCGGTATCCCATAATCTAATAGGCCTATTATTACGCGGAACAAATAATCTTAAAAAAGGTAACATCGATGGAATCTTTACAAACGGATATAACACTTATAATTTTAATAAGAACAAAACAGCCAAAATACACTTGCCCTTAAGGATCAATAATTGTTTGGCACTAAGACACCCCTTTATTAATTTCCACAGAATGCATGCATAATATCAATTTACTAACGATGTAAGACAGATAGCAACTTCCTAAATAATTGTCCTGAACGGTATCATAACGATGCAGAAACTATACATACTGTTTCTTTACCAACGTACGACAACGTACTTGCAATTCCCCTGGTGTTGCGGGTGCTCATGGGCGGCGGTAATCACTTACCATCAGGTGAGCCGCATGCTCGTTTGTCCCCTGTGTTATAAAAAAAAAAACCAAGTTCCTATAATTTAATAAGTCCGTGATATGAATCGAATTTACAGTTTCTGTACCGAAACTATACATATCTCGTCAACAAACCAAGAAGTAGCCTAACAATCCAAAATACAAATGTTTAGGAGACATCAGCATGAATTTGGCTCTGATAAAATGTAACAAAGTATATAATGGAAGGTACCCTTTATTAAAATACTTTGTTCATTATATATTTATTACACCATTGTTTTAAACAACTAAAGTATATAATAATATAAATAAGTAATAAGCCAAATGATATATTATGTAGCTATATTATCTAACATCTTTTACTACACTTCCATCATAAGACTTTATTATATTACTATCTATGGTAGTTATGTAATTTAGCGGCGAACAGTTGCATCTCAGTGGTAATTTTAACAATAATTTTTGGTTGTTGATTTTTTAAATTTAAACTAACGAGAATATTAAAATCTTTGATTATAGAACATAATTAGAGTTACATGTTTAGGAAGACACATAAATTTCTTATCTATGTAAGCTCGACCAATAATGATGCTTAAAATATAACAAAATATTTCTGGATGAATAAAATTCGTAAGATCATTTAATTAAAATAGTAAATATTTAGATCTAACATTCTTGCTTGGTAAGATAATATTGGAAATTGTCTACTTATATATATATATATATATAGAACTTTCAACCAAAAGTTCTTTTGTTATTTAATTTTTCTCAACACCTTTTTAATCACATTTAATTCATAAAAATGACTGTTTTTTATGTGAGCGACATATAACATTCATTTGGTATTACTGTAATATATTTTTAGTACGGCATCTATGATCTAGTTATTTGGTTCCATTTAACATTCACTATGAAAATATACACATTTAAATCTATATTGTCATCTATTTACAATTACATATATTTACACAGCTATGATAATATCTTATATTTTAATTTAGCTGAATATGAATTTAATACGGTGTTAACTAGGTGGGTAAAATACAAGAAACAAAATTTTTAATACAATTATTTGATAATTTCCAAATGGATAACGATATTATATTAATTTTAAGAACTCTGCATTTTGTTACTGTTCTGGACACTCCTGGACATTGTTACCACCATAATGGTCAACACTAGAGTTTTCAAAGTTACAACATGCACGGTTAAAAAAATAGAATTCAAAATGGCGGCTCATCACTTGATGGTTGGCAGAAAAATAATTATTTTCATACAATGTAAAGCATGAATGATCTGAAAATAATAACTTGTTAGACCGTATATTTGAATATACAGCGAAGGTACAAACGGCAGGTGATTGGAGATGGCACCATTTGCAATACTACTCATTACTTTTCTTCTGGTATGTAAATAGGTACAAAATGTATCAACGCCTGCTGGTAGTGTTTCAACCTACGGGTATATTTTAGGCCTTTTGTGGAGATTGTTAAAAACCATGTCATTATATATACCAATGGTGTAAGTAGGTAAGTATTGCAGAAATTGAAGTATTAATAATGCGTTTAAATCATATAAATTTAAACACCTAAATGGTATTAATCTTAAATAAATAGTTACTCTAAATATTCTATAAAAAATGGCCGGAACGATTTAAAAAAGAAGAGTTGGGAAGTTCTGAGTGTGCAAAGTATGTAATGTACGTAATGAAATTGTAAATGATAATTATTCGTAAATTTGTCTTAGAAAATCCAGACTATAGCGTATATTTTTACCATCGTGGTGTTTAAAACAAAATAGTGCAGGTTAATTGCTAAATTAGTCTGCACTATTTTGTTTTAAAAGCGCTATTTTCTGTTACGAAGAGTTGAGTATGATAGATGTGAAATATGTGAAAGTACAGTACATACATAGATAGTAGGTCTTTAATTAACATATTGGATACAAAATTATACTTCAGAAGACGTAGTCGTACATCTAGTAATAATTTAAAAGTATTATAAGACTTAAAAAAAAAATAGGATTATCTCTAACTATCTACTTATTTGAACAGACAAGATTTATAATAATATCAAGAATTTTACAAGTTTAGTTTATTCGTAAGTTTCTGACCACAAGTCGAATTAATGCTTTCTACTTTTTTTTAGTAAAGATTTCGAATAGGATTCTACGTACAGATAATTTTTTTTATATAAAGTACGAGATTTTTATTATCTACACACTTGGAAAGTGATACATATGAGAAATACTAATGAAGAAGAGTATTTTTATATTAGAATTAGTCTTTTTAAATACCCAATTTTATACTTTCTACTTGAAAAAAAATTAGATCAGCTATATTCTGTTTTGCTAAGAAATTCTTTTTTAATTTGTATATGCAATTCTATATATAAAATTAGCTAATAATAAACTTAGAACTAGATGTTCACTGAAGCAGGAAGCTGGTGAACTAGTTGGATGTGGTAGGTTGATGTTATTATCTACGCGTGCAGCCCTAATGATAAGGCAATTTACGTAAATTTCATATCTATCTACAAATTCTATCGCTCATATACACTCTTTATGTGGCTAATTCGTATTAAATCATATTACAAATACACTAACTAATCGACTTTTGTCACACGGTATTTTTCGGTACTGCGACACGAAGCAAATTATTTATTTTTATAATCTGGCGTACATACATAGGGTCCGATTTCCAATCAAGTAAAAGACCGAAGCGCTAATATTTACTTTATAATAAAAGACAAACCCGCTCATAAATTTTAATTGTCATTTTGCACCAGTATGTCACCATGTAACACTTGTTGGAGCTCTTATTTAAATAGATGTAAGTATTGCACCTGAATCGCCATTCAATATTACAAATCCGACCTTGACCTTGAAAACACGATGAAAATCCGTTATTAGTAATTATTTTCAAGGTTTTGCGGTAATGTAAAGTATATTAGAACTGGCAATTTCTAAAAATTACGGAGCGCAGCGTGGTACCGGGCGCGCGCCGTCCGCAGGCCGTCAGAAGTTGCTGTCAAAAACACCCATAGATCTAGAGATTTCTTCATCGCGCAAACAGCAGTCGAGGAACTCGTCTAGCGTTAGGACACCATCTCGGTTGAGGTCCATTTTCTGAAATAACAATCAATTGAGGGGTATTAGATACAATAAGTAACAGATTTGAATTAAAAGACCTTTGACAAAGATTTCAAAGGTCATTAAATATAAGTAGATAGATGGACTGAATATTTTACGCCTTAGCTGAATATCGTGTATTATTATTATTTAGTAACATGCCTCATATCTAAGGGATCACCTCGTCCGCCGTCAAAAAAATACAAATTTTAATGGAAGCGAAGTGTAGTAGCGCTGCGCCGTATTTTTGCATCTACGCAACGAATAAAACGTTTATAGAAACTGGCTCTGTTCGAATCGGGTACAAACCTGGCCTTTTCCTAAATGGCAGTAATAGTATTTGTTTGGGTTTCGAGTAGATAAATGTTTTCTATATGTGTTATACAGGTGACGAGGAAGTAGGTACTGTTATAATGATAAATACTGTTATTATATTTTAATACTTTTATTGTAGCAGAAGACATGACATTGTACAAGCAAGACATTTTCTAATAATCTCTGTTCAGTGTTGCCATACTAATCTATATAATTCTAACACTTGTTACATCCCCCTTCCTTCACAATAAATGAACTTAATAAACATGATCTTTTAAATAACTTGGAGGTTTTACTATTCTACCTGACCTAGTGGTAAAGTAATGATTTTCATTATTGTGACTTTCAGTTTGAACTTGTAACTCAATATTATTATCTTTAATTACAGTTTGCTCTTTATCATCACAATCTTTACTTTGACCACTATCACAATCTACATCTATTTTCCTTTCTTTTTTAATAATAAGCTTAGACTGATCTTTACAATTATGCAAATACTTTCTATTTCTATCTAGCATTTGTCCATTTTCACACATTACTTTATATGAATTAGGTCTATAATCTTTTCTAATTATTTCAGCATATGTAAAAGGCTTTTTATCACATTCTAATATAACTTTTTGCCCAATGTTCAATTCTGGTAACTTTTTAGTGTTTTTATCAAAATATTTTTTCTGTCTAAAACTGTTTTTGTACAATTTAGTCTGTATTCTTATATTATCTTTACTTGGACATGAATATTGTGGTAATAAACCTTGAACATTTCTATTCATTAACAATTCAGAAGGAGTTTTATTCTCCATTTCTACTTTAGGAGTATTTCTGTACTCTAATAATGCTAAATACTTGTCTTTATTTTCATAATCAGCTTTTTTAAACAAATTTTTAACCGTTTGCACATATCTCTCAGCAAGACCATTTGACTGAGGAAATGTAGGACTACTAGTTCTGTGAGTAAAATTCCAATTTTTTGTAAATTCTCTAAACTTTTGATTACAAAAATTAGTACCATTATCCGAATATAAAATATCAGGAATACCAAATCTAGCAAATACTGATTTAAATGCAGCAATTGTTACTTCTGCAGATAAATTACTTAAACTTATAATTTCAAAGTATTTACTGTAATGATCTACAATAATTAGAAATGGCTTTTCCTTATAATAAAAAACATCACTTCCTAAAACTGACCATGGCTTATGAGGCATGTCTCTTATGGTCATAGGTTCTTTACTATTACGTTTTTTAAATCTACAACATGTATTACAATTCTGTACCTTATTTTCTATCTCTTTATTCATATGAGGCCAAAATATACATGATCTAGCTCTAGCCTTGCATTTTTCAATACCTAAATGATTGTAGTGTAACTGTTCAAGCATATTTTGTCTCATTGACATTGGTATTACTACACAGTTATTTTTAAATATTAAATCATCATATACAAAAAGTTCTTCTTTGAATGTACAATAATCTCTCAAACTGTCTGGTACTTTCTCTATATTATCTGGCCATCCTTCTATAATATATTTTTTTAATAAATTAAATTCCCTGTCATTTTCTGTTTCTTTCTTAATTTCTTCTAATCTACAAGATTTAACTGGAATATTTTCTATAATCATACCTACCTGTGCCTCTATTTCTTTTTCCTTAATACATCCTATTTTATTTGTATCAAATATCTGTATATACTTATTTATTATATCATGACACTGCATATTTTTATTACATATTACTTGCCTCAGATTTTTACGTTCAAACAGTTTTAAATGTTCCATAGTATTCCAACCTAATATTGGTGTACAATTTGCTTTTACTACTTGAAATCTCAAATTAACTTGCCTATTATTGATCAGTTTACATCTCAAGTCTATAAAACCTAAACTATTAATTTGTGACCCGTCATAATTATGTAACTTAATATTACTACTTTTAATCATTGTATTACAACCTAACTGCTTAATAATTTTCAATGGTATCACATTACAATCAGATCCTGTATCTAACTTAAAGTCAATAATTTTGCTTCCTACTTGAAGAGACTCAAATAAATCACTTTTATTTATTGTTCCGACCTCTATAGAACTAATCACAATGTCAGATAATACGGATTCATTTATCACTTGCACTTTATTTTTATTTTTACACACTCGCGCGAAATGACCACGACGTCCACACTTTCTACACTGTAGATTGTATGCTGGACATTTATAACCATGACTATAACCACACTTATAACACAAACTATTTTTCTTACTTGCATTATGTATTGATACCTCAGATTGTCTACCTTGTGCTGTTTGACTTTTTCCCTTTGTCTGGCTCTTGTTGTACTCATACTTACTGCTTTTCTTTATTTCTGCTACCTCTATTTTCTCTTTTTCAAACTTCTGCATCTGTATACAAGTTATTTCGAACGTTTTACATATTTGTATACATTTATTTAGATCAAGACCATGCTCTTTTAATAATCTTTCACGTAGGCTCTTTTCTCTTATTCCTCGAATAATCTGGTCCCTTATTAAACTGTCTCTCAGTGACTCGAAATTACAATCATTGCTCAATATACGTAATTCTGTTACGTAATCGTCGATACTTTCGTCTTCCTTCATAACTCTACTGAAGAAAATATGTCTATTCATAGACTCATTTTTCTGTGGTATGAAATAATTATCAAATTTCTTTATTAGGTCATCGAACTTTGTAGAAGAGGTTAAATCAAAAGTATTATATATTTGTATTACCTCGTCACCTATTGTGTGAAGAAATAATGCTATTTGTCCCTCATCATCCAATTTTACATCAGCTCCTGACGCTTTCACATATAACTGATATCTTTGCTTAAATCTTTTGTAATTTTCGGCAATGTCGCCGGTAAACGACAATGATGGCGGCGGCTTCAACATATCCATATTTTTTGGTTTATTTACTCAATATCACTTATTTATTATCACTTCTTTCAGTTTAAATTATCGACTGCGCCATGTTATAATGATAAATACTGTTATTATATTTTAATACTTTTATTGTAGCAGAAGACATGACATTGTACAAGCAAGACATTTTCTAATAATCTCTGTTCAGTGTTGCCATACTAATCTATATAATTCTAACACTTGTTACAGGTACCTACTGGAAATTATCTATATCAGCCATTGCAAATGAGAATAGCAACTATACGTTAATAATATCAATTTCAGGATAATTTTGCTGTATTTATTAGATAGGTATTTATTGTTTATTGCTATAAGAATAAATAATTTCTGTTTGTAATTTCAAATTGACAGCTTTTCACTAAATACATTTATGAAGTAGTACCTATATAGTACTTAGATAAAAAAATATATTAAAAAATCTGTCTGTTTGTTCTTGCTAATCTCTGAAACAGCTGGACCGATTTTGACTTTGATTTGATTCACATTCGCTATAAGGAGTAGGTAACTTAGGATACTCTTATTTTAGAATTTTTAATATAATAAAATACAAGCTTATTTCACGCGAACGAAACCGCGAGAAATAACTAGTTATTGTATAATCACGTGTTGAGGAGATAGTCGTGTAGGTACTTACGAGTATATTATCTACTTAGGTATTTATTAATACGCTTATATTTACCTGAAATAGCCTCTCAACTTTATCACGTACGACTTCATCGTCGACTATTGGTTCCACGATCTTGCCCATGAGGTCGTATATAGCGCCCACTATTTCCGTCATTTCCTCTTTCGTGATACAGCCGTCCCCGTTTATGTCGTACAGGGAGAAAGTCCACCGAAGTTTCTCTTCTAATGTTCCTCTCGATAGGATTGATAAACCGGTAACAAACTCCTGTAAACGAATACAAGTTGTAAAATTCCAAGTGCAGTGGGATTGTTAGTCACTGGAACTGGATTTTGTAATGGATGATAATGTAATGGTGCTCCTGTGTGCTAACGGTTTTCGTTGGCGAGTCAACAATGGAGGACTCTGAGAAGAGTAAGAGGTCAGGTTAATTAGTCCATCCTGGCAAATTCATTAGGAATTTATCACGATGGTTTCCAGGGGGAACCGCGTCGAAGTCAACAAAAAATGGTACAACAATGGGTATATTGTTATTAGTCCACATTATTAACAATCCCCTTCCCCTCCATGGAGATTGGTTATTAGTAGCCCTCTAGCTACCACAGGGTAACTATCTTATATTAATATTCATCCTATTCTTCACCATTGGAGGACAGGACGCTTACGTATACCATGGTGTGTCGGACACCATTGCATAAGTAACAAAATTTGCTAATGAGAGTGAAATAAATCAATACCGTTATATTATATCGTAATTCCACGATATGATAATCATGGAATTACAATATAATTTAACACCGAAGTTCTTTTTTCAGTGATATTCATTAGTAGTTGCTTTTGTAAACAATGTGGATATCACCTTAGTTTAACGATAATCAGAATCCGGACATAATATATTTATTATTACTTTGGCTAGGTACCCACTCTATATTTATGTACATCAATCATTCATCCGCGCCTTAGATTATATTAGCCTATATTATTATTGTTGACCTACCTCAAAACTTAACAAGCCACTTCTATCTTGGTCCAACGTGTTGAAAACGTAGTGTGCATATTGGGCGGTATTTGCTGAGAAGAAGAAAACATTACTCTTAGTAACGTACAATTATAAAAAACACATTCAGGTACAATCGGTACCTTCCCATAGTGTAGTTTAGATTAGTCGACGGAATGCAGGCCTTTTAAACCAAACACGGGAAGGTAGCCGACAGACTGAAGATAGCCGACTTGGTTGATTAATTTTGTAATAACCGTCAGCTAGTAGAACACGTAGTCTATTTATTTTCATAATGAGATGCCTACTTAATTCGGTTTATACATATTGGTTCATAGGCCTACAAGTAAAAGTAAACCCATCTAGGGCTGCCAGATCGCTAAAACTAATAGCCGGACAGATCAGTCAGTTTGGTTGGACACCCTACATTGAGAATTGTCTCAGCATCAATAGGTATGACCAAAAAATTTTATGTTAAATCAAGCTTTTTTTTTATTATTACCATAAATGTGGTAAATTCGAATGAAATATGAACAAAATTTAATGCCAAATCAGTCTAAATACTTTTTTAAACAGTCCATCATATAATCGGCTACCGTACGGCGCTCGCTCATTTCCGATGTATAAAAAGCCATCACTACCCGGACACTGATCATTTTGGCCAGACACGTAAAGTAAAAAGCCTATATCCGATATTATCCTGATGCCTAAGCAACGCTTTCCCCAACTGATGCCACGAATTAAAAAAAAATCTTAAATCAACTTTATACATATGTAGGTATATTTATAATTGAAATGTTTATGAAACTGTTATCTGATCCGGTAGATATGTATTTGAAATAGTTGTGCAAGTAGGTACTTGCTATACCTACTAAAACGCTATGACGTAAGCGCTATTTATAATGAAGTAGGTATATGAAGGCGAAATGAAACAAATGTAGGTAGTTTTTTAATAGTATTGTATAAATATGTGTTATATTGTCTAATAATGATAGAATTTATATTACTGTATGTAGAGTTGATCATAAAATAATAATGGAAAGCTGTTTTTATTCAATAGATTTATGTAGTAGTAAAGTATTTAGCCTTCGATTGATTCAGGTATAATAGAGAATGTTATGTACCATAAGTTGTTCACGGACATAACATAGTATGATATATATACTATCTACTATTGATATTTATTTACTTCCTCGAGATGTATATTGCAATTGTCAATTTTTATATTGATTGGACCTAAATCCTATAAATAATGTCACAATATATTACTAATTTCTATACTATGTTATGTATAATCGTGTTTACATTTTATTGTAGAAATTCTTAAAATAAAACAATTATAATATTATCATTACATTTATTTGATATTAAATCAGTTGCTATTACAGACCTTGATAACTGAAATGGACCATGAGTCCAATAAATTATAGTTACCACAGAAATGAAAAAATATCTTAATTAAGCCAGAGTTTAAAAATACTGGCTGATTCTGTAAAATGTCAACTAATTATCACAATGGAATATTTTCTCCAAAGTTACTAAGACATTTGGTTTTCCTCAAATTTCTTAATTACAATGAAATTTTCAGTTTATACAAAATTCAGGGTTTATTTCTGCAGATAATATATATTCTGAAAATTTCATTAACATCCGTTCAATACAAATGTTGTTATTATAATTAACTTAATGTTAAAGTTTTGAGATGGGCACACCACAGTGGTCTTCACATTGGGATCGGACAGTTCCTTAAAAAATAAAGTTACACTAGAGGCGCTCCACCCGTCTGCTGCTGATAAACTTCTATTGTATCTCCCTCTTCCATCTCCAGTGACGTGGGTGTGTCATTCTCATTGATAGGCTGGCCATCAAACCTGAACCGGACCACTTGCATTGATAGACCCTGCAAGTAAACAAGAATTATTACAGTTTTTACATATTACAGTAATTATTACATAATACTAATACTTATTACATAATACTAATACTTATTACAAAATGCTAATACAATAATATACAAATAAACTTTAAAGAAATAACTGTTGATTATAAAACTATTTGTATTCCACTATGTTCATTTTTAGTGATTTACAGCAATCCCCTAAAATTAATTTGTTTAGGTATTGGAGGCATTTTCAAATGTTATTAAAATATATAAATGGATAGATAAATAATAAAATTGAATAGTGTAAGAGATAAGAACAAAGATAATATGTTAATTATTACCTACACAAAACATACAGTAAATATATTTTATCTACTTATATGTATGGTTCCTTTATTTTTTAATAAAGCTCCTAAAAATTTTTATATATAAGAGGAAACCTCTGTTTACTATAAATGATAGTATTTTGTTAATTTTCCATCCTTGTTGCTTGTAATATCCAGAAACGCATCATTTAGTTAAAAAAATTTTGGAAATATACAAACATTGAAAACATAGGTCATGTGTACATTGTTCAATGCAATAACATACTGGCTAAAATTAGTCTGCAAAACATCAAAAATCAAAAGGCAGTGTACTAAGCTTTTGTTTTTGCTTTCATTTCTGTTTTACATGGCATTGAATGTTAGAGGTATCTATCTATATGCACTAATAAGTTCTTAGTAGTACATTGTTAAATTTAAAAATAGTATTTGTTGTATTATAAGTGTTTAATTCAGAACTAAAATAAGTGTATCTAAAAGTGTAAAAATTATGTGAATTTGAAAAATTACTAATATAACTTCTCCATAACTATTTTGATTATTATTTCATGCTAAGAAAATCATAATCAATAGCACATTTTATAATCGAACATATCATTTAAACATTTTCATTAATTTAATATATAACAATGTTGTATATATATAGCACAATATGTAGATCTCTGTAGCAGAAGTGCTATTTTAAAAGATATTAAAAAGAATAATATATAACAAGGTAAAATGCACATATACCCTGGAAACAATGGAGTGGTATTACCTATTGGATAAATCAATTGCTATGGACAAAATACACAAAGTTATTTAAAGTATGAAGCAGTTCAATAGAAGATAATAGTAGTCATTTTGTGATTTAAAACCACTGACAAAGATAAAAGTAATATGATGCATGTTTATAGCGAGTGATTATGGATGTAGTACTACTACAGTATCTTAAAACAAATTTGTATAACTGTAATTAAAAATAAGTTCTGACTTGTTAAATTCAGATATCAGTGGAATGGAGTTTGTAAATTTGGAAAGATGCTATTGTGTATTTAACTAATTCTCTGTTATTGTTACGAATTTTGCATGCGATTAATAGTTGAAAAGCATACTTACTGCTCTGTCACAGTAGGCATTCATCAGCTTCCTGAGAGGTGTGTGTTTCTTAATTTTGAACTGGACAATAGCATTATCTTGACCTAATACTTTCAAGTTGATGTGTTCACTTTCTCCCTGTAATAAAGTGAGTATAACGTAAAACACTAAGCATCAAAAAATATAAACACATTTCAAACATGTATTCGCAGAAATAACCACATTTTATATAGAACGCCATGTCGGTAGAACTATTTGTTTGTAACTCTGACAATACATATATTTACGTACCTTTTTCTCATCAGACATTTTGAGATTAATGTATTTTTGTAAACTAACAACACAAATACACAAACGTTTAGGATAATATAAACTTAATTACACAAAAGATACACTAATGACACATTCGTGATCCGGTGGCGTGGTAATGGCGTCCGATCGCGGCTTGGAAGGAAAGAGTTCAATGTTGCCAACTGATGCGCAGAATAACGGCGCAAATGGCGCGCTTCGGCGCATAACGATTCGGACGTTTACTGTGTGTTTGTGGGGATAGATAGCTTTATTATTAAATATAAGGTATAATTGCTCTTCCAAGAATTTTCTTTAAAAAAAATTTCTCGCCGTTATACATATAAAGTATTGTAAGAATAAAATAGTCAATTGAACAATCTTTGAATTACATGATAACTTTAAAAAACATATATGTACATTTTATACTTTATAAATACAATACAATATACAATGTGGGTACTTGTATACATATTTTGTATTTAATGTAATCAATTTTTTTTATTATATTTATGTCTATAACGTAACTAGAAAAACAACAGAATTATTTAGGCGATTATAGTAAAGTGGTATATAATGGTCTATTTTTACAAGATTAATTTATGGAAATATTAGACAGTTTAGAATGTACATTTGTAGAGTAAGTTATACTGTAAGATCATAAAGATTATGATTTTCATGTAAAACTTTAAATCTATATCCGCTGTTACCAACTCCAAAAATATACTGTTAGCGTCAGCAAATCAAATATCGATATCGATAATATACCGGATACGCTTAGTGTTGTTAGTAACATATCGATATTGATATGTTTCTTTTTACGCAGAATTGAATTTTTTTCTAATTGTATACTAATTTTCTAGGTCCGAAATTAAATTAATTTACACAATATACATATATTTAATTTAATTAAATTGGTAAATGAAAGTAATATAGTGCGAAATGTTATTGGATTACTTTTTAAATGTTTATTACGGTCTTCTCTACAGTTATAGAATTATAATAGGGTTAGCGGCACGGCGTTCTGATGGGGTTGACACTTAGCAGTTATTGATTTAACGGTTTCTAGTATCCGAAGTAGGGGTTTGATATTATTAATAGAGATTGTTGATTAATAACACCTTACACCTGTTGTTTTTTAAACCAAATTAAAAACAACTATATACATATATCACTTTAGTATACTCGACGAATTGCCGTATATGTGGGGTTACTCATAAGATATGGAATTATCAGGCAATTTAGTGATTTAGTCAAAAGCAAATTAGCAGTAGAGATTAGTTCGAAAACATTTCCCAATAAATATGTGTCCTCCAAAAAAAAATTAAGAAAAGTGCCACATTTACGTCGTTTTTATTAAATTGCCAAGTGAACTTCTGGCGCAGTATGACCTAATGGACCAACAGTTTGATGGATTATTGTTCTGCAAATCTGACATATTTATAGAAGTAGTTGTAGCGACTAACTACCAGAACAGTTAGGATTTATATTTTGTTTTGTCCACTGTACATCTTTGAAGTGCTCCTTTTTGTATTTAAGAAATAGTTACTATTATTCCCTTCCGGTGTCGTCTTATAATGTGTCTAGTATTTGAATACAATTGTGAAATTCTGATATTTTCACATAATTAATTAAATAGTATACTTTGTTAAATAATGTAATGTTCTATGTGGCCTGTAACCCGCCGATTAATTTCACAGAGTTATCTCTGACAATCACTGTTATAATTATGGGCAACGAAACTGCGTTGTCTGGAAATAAATGACGCTGTATATATATTTTTCTCGCAAGTGAACTTTATGGCCGATGGTTGTTTGTTTTCACGCGGGTGTAGCCAATGATATTACGGGATGTGCCGTGAATTTTAGATTTGTGGCCAGCATGTCGCGTTGCGATAAACTCTCATAGCCAGTTGCAAATAATCGGTATCTGAATTTGACTCCTATAAATTGGACTTAATTAAATTTAGTCAACATGTTACAGTGGTATGTTATTTATTGTTTATGAATTCAATTATCCTTATTTAGATAGGTATGGTAGCAGTTTCTCTTAACTGATGATGTTGATCAAATTGGACAGTTTGTTTCACAAATAGAAATAAATCAGCTTAGAACATTGTTCTGTCGGTATATTAAATTATATATAGTTTTTATATCCAATAAAAGCTACTTGTAGATGAAGTGTGGAAATAAATTATATTTATTCGTTTATATATATTTGTAGAAAAGTCTTATAATCGTATACCTATGTTTTTTAATGTTTCAGATATATGTAGACATGTATATACCAACTGATTAAAGTGATTTGAAAAAAATCACTGTGTTCCACATTTTATTTGTCGTGTCTTCATTAACGTTTCTTTTTGTACCTTTTATTTACATTTATGAAGTTATTTATCTAATATAACAGACTCTTTTAGTTCTTTTTAAGTACCTACATTATATAGGTCTTTTAGGATAAGAATGCAGTAAAGTAAAAAAAAACAATAAATATATTAGACCTACCATTGTATACTTATAAATAAATGGCGTTGAAATAATTATAGGTATTTTTTTCAACCTTACAGATGATAAAATTGTAACGATGTGTGATTAGAAAAACATAAATATATAGGACAATAGTCATGGACGTTTATTAACACAGTTAATATGAACTGTGAAGGTATTAGTGACTGACTGTCTCAGAATTTAGAATAAGAATTCTCTATGCGCAAAAATATAAATAACTGTCCAAAATTATAAATAAATATTAACAAAACATACATGATAATAAATTCCAATGGAATATCTTTTTCCTAAATCCAGATTTTGGGACTTATTTGGAACGCAGAAAAATATGTTTTACTGTAATACAGACAGCAAAGTTCACACGGCCTACTACGGTCTGCTGGACAATTTGAACGAATGTAAGTGTTCCAACACCAGTATTCACACCCGAGACCACTCAACTTGATGGGATTATATGATTATGTGATGCGTTTTTCATGTCCCCATTTTATTCTTTTAGTACGGTCCGTATCTTTTATTAACATTCCTCGCGTATATTATATTGGCCTTACCTTGTTTTAAGGGATATTTGGGAAAGGAAAATTTGTATCAATTTCAAAGGTCTACTCAAAATTACACAATATTAATGGTATGTATTACATTTTATTACTAATAATAATGAATAAGACTCGGACGTTTTGCAGAACTGAGTCAGCCGCTAATTAGAAAAATATTATATTGGTCCATAATTCAAAATATATTTATTCATGTAGGTCCATTACAGACTCTTATGATATGTCAAATCTACCATCAGTTCGGAATGATTTCGCGATGAGAAGAACTGACAAGCAACTATTTTAAATAACTATATATATATATATAAATATGTTGCCCAAAGAGGTGTTTATATATTTGTAGGCTAAAATCCATTTAAGTAATTCGTATACTATATATATACACATTACTTATATACCTATAATAGCAGGCTCGTGATGCAAATTATTTAAAAACCCTTGAGTATTTTGTATTATTTTTAAGTTTGACATTTGAGTGAGCGTTAGCGTTTGCCACAAAAGAAAATAATCTCATTCTAACACTGAGTTCATTCAGTCTGCAATATCTCGGTCTCTCGCTTTGGAAAGAAATGAGGTAAATTTACATTCAAAGTACTTGTTTCCTTATTAATTTTTTGTTTTTTTATTTTTTCTTAGAGCTCTTGAGTTAACCGAGTAGGTACCTATAAATAATATATACAAATAGGTACATGTATGTATTTATTATTTAACGTTCTTTAAAAAGTGGGTGTTTTAAAGATCCCCTTATACTTACATAAAGTTGTGATTCATGAATGGATTTAGGTATGTTTGATGTGAAATATATGCTATATTTTTATATAATTTTACTTGATTTAACATTTATATGGATGGGATCTTTTAGGGATCGCATATATACAAAAATACAAATACTACATAAACGATACGAGATATTATAAAGTATATCTAAGGTTAAAATATAGGTAAATGATTACTTCTGCCTTTTAATGTGAATGATATAAAATCCGCTAACATCGAAGTGCATAAGGGTTCATTCAATCCACATAATACAAGAGATTGTAAAACAGTTTTCATTGTATTCTATATATATTCTCATAATGAAAATGAAATGAAATGAAATTTATTTTTATTTGCGTATTATACAGTTAGATATTATTATCAGGTAATAATAATCTGTTTTCAAATTTTGTATATTAGAATAATTTAGAATATTATAATTTAAAATTAATGTTTTTCATTCTAATTATATAGTAATAAAAAAAAAAAAAGTCAACAATCATCACATAAATGATAAAACCAGTAATATAATAATTTATGATGAATTTTTTTTTAAATGGGAATTGCTCTTTGGTACCAATATTTTATTTCTTCTCTCTGAGACAGTCTTTTATTACATGTGTTTTTTGGATGGTTTCTGCAGATATCAAATAAGTTTCTTTGTAATATCATTCCAATTTTATAATTTTCTTGTTGTATCAAAGACAATTATATACATTGTTAATTAAATAGGTATTGTAGATTATAAAATTATAGTACAATGGGACTCATTTCGACAACCAAAAACCAAATTTCCAAGTAACGTTTATTCACAGAAATAGCAATATAATTTATTATTATTCCAATCAAAATTAATTATCAAAAAATGTGATGGAAACAGAACAAATAGTTGATGAACAGAATGTAAATGAATGAAATAATGAAGTAAAATTTTGTGACGTAAGAATTTCTAATAAGTAAAACTTTTAGAATTGATTGTTCGGGTGTTATTAATTAAACGTATCCATCAATTTCCTAAGATTAAACCTTAGCCTTGATGTCCGGTTCGTCGATTTTATTACGGCAATAATGACACAGCGATAGTTCGATTTTTACCTTCGTTGAACAATATAGATACACAATAAAAATGTTAATGTGGATACCTTTTAAGTATCGAAGGAACTTTCAAGTACCTAAGGCAAATATGTTTCGAAGCTTATACACAAATATTGCTGTATTTGTAACATTAGTTAAAAAATCTATTATTTAGTATCTACTTGATTTATTACATGATATTTCAATTTTAATTTACCGTAGCTATTGAAAGCCAATTTTGGCAAATGTTAATTTAATTTTATGTACAAAATTTGTTTAATAGTATCTACTACGGTACTAAAGCGGTGCTGAAGGAACGCTGGGAAAAGGGCAAGAGAGCACGACACAGCGTACAGCGTGGACAGCCAAGCACACTGAGACGGTCGTGTTTAAACAGCAAAATTTATTGTATTAAAAAATAAACATGTAACTTTATTATTATTATAACATAATACAGATTAAAATATAAGCCAGGGAATATTAAACTTAAAATCATGTGACATATCAAAACCTACAACTTACCTTAAATTTTCTTAAATTGCGGTTCAGCTGAAGTCTTCGGGAAAGGTAAATAAAACTTCATTATTTTTCATAACTTTATTTATTCTGTCGGTGGATATCCACTCTGTCTTTACTTTTTATTTTAAACACAATTTTAATTTTATTTATTTATACCACGTAGGTGTTATATATGTTATATGTTATTATAGGTGTGAAAAATAGTCTAATAGATTTTACTAGCATAAGGAATTAACTGTACTTTTTGCGAAAAAATAATTACCTAAAATAAGTGAATTATGTTAGGAACTGTTGTCATTCTTTAAAAATATTTCAATAGATATATTAACTCGAGGAGGTCTTGTTTATTTAATTTATTGGATAAAGTTTAGAAATTGATATATTACTTACCACTTTAGTCACTAACACTGCTATAATAATAAGGTTTACTATCAAATCACTCAATATCAATTTTATTCCATAATTGATGGGCGATACAAAAAGCCTTTGCAAATCAATTAGTAATTAGAAGACTTATTTAACTCAGTCTAATCGGCAGAAGTCGAGGAGATCAGGAAGCCGTTTAAGGAACGGCCTCTTAATGCTTAATCTATTTAGGTTTGCAGAGAATTTGCTTATCTATGGATTAATTATTGAAAGTCACAATCCAGTGTACAACTGGAGACTAAATGGCTTTAGTGAAACGTTTCTTACACGGCTTGGTAGGACAAATTGACAGGTCTCCCTGACTTAATTTTGTTTATTGTCTTTCCATAGACATTAAGAAGATAAGGCCTCGTGTATTATAATTCCTGAGAACTTAATTTGTTATGTCTCTGTATCTCGTAATTTCACAGAATAACATGCAAGTAATTTAAACATTTCTTGCGTGGTATTTATTCTGTGGCAGAAACTACACTGTACATAGGTACAGAGCTCGATTTGTATACATACCTCCTTGTGGGAAGAACTGTGAGTATATAATTTTGAAGGTGTCTTCTCGCACTACTCCTGTTGGGCATTCGGCCTTGAAGCCACGATATAGTCTCTTCAGCTCGGGTTCTGTAAATCGCGTCGCTCGACGGAGCGCCGCTATTGAGTCCGGCCGATACCGAGGAAGCTGTTCACCCAACTCCTCTAGTTCGGAATCTGAAAATAAAAAAAAATCTGATTAGAATGATTCACATTATATTGTTACTATCATCATTACATATTATAAAATAAAGTCGCTGTCGCTGTCTGTCCCTATGTATGCTTAAATCTTTAAAACTACGCAACGGATTTTGAAGCGGTTTTTTAAATAGATAGAGTGATTCTAGAGGAAGTGAGAAGCCGAGGCGAGTAGCTAGTATATAAGGGCAATATAAGGGTGCTATCTTGCTAGCTAGCTGTTTATATAATTAGAATGGTAAATAAACAGATGATAACATTCATTATTTTTTCCTTTTATTTTGTCAATATATGATCACGAGTGAGAGAAGGCTGGTTCTTAATGCATCTGAATTTATTTGTGTTTATTAAATAACATATATTATATTATATTATAAACGATTTACCTACTGCATTATAGTTGTCATACATATTTCGTAACGGTTGATTAGACTTTATTGGAATAAATTCTTGACGTATTTCCCACATATGATGTCAATGAAGTCGATACTGACTTCCTTGACATATTGGATGTACATACACGTAGATTATTGTATCATGGAGTTCGTAAAAGGCTAACACGGGGATATGTCTATGTGATAAATCTAGATTTTTACGTTTGGATCGGAGCCACGGCGGTGTAAGTGCATTTCGTAGTGCAAGTAAGCTCATGTCGTATATCCTCGTATATATCTGTCAGCTGTCAATACTCGTATTAGAGATGTGTAGTCTAAATCTTTTGATGTATTTAGAATATAGATAGATAAAAAAAGAAATATTAATGGTCGACTAGTAGTTGACATTTAACTAATTATATAATTGTTTGATTTTATACGTTATTAAAGTTCTATTATCAAAGACTTATCAATGGAGTTATTTGGGTGTATTAATCGCAATTATTATAAAATAATAATAGGGCTTTACCCTCCTATTTTTATTATTGTGTCTAAAGTTTAACTGTACCAAATTTCATACTTTACCGTTTGCATAATTTTTGTAAAAAGTTATTATGAACATTTTTACAGCAAATAATGATGAATATGGGTACCTATTGTTATGGGCATATTGTTGTTACAATGAAATCTCGGTGTCACATATCTATGGCTAGTATTCGTATATATGACACCGAGATTTCATTGAGACAGCAATGTAGGTATCTATGGTATATTCATCATTATTTGCTGTAATAGTATCTCTATTAGCATTGCTGCATTGTCGTTTTTAGCACGACTAGCTTTTATCAAGTATAACAATAGCATACCTTTTTCAACCAATAAAAGGAAAGGTTCTCAATTTCACGACATTTTATTGTGTATTATGTCATCTAGTTGTTGACGATTTTTAATCGAAAGGATTTGTTCTCTTTTTGCTATCTTATATCTGGGGTAACAGCTGTGAAGGAACCTTATTATTATTAGTTTAAACTTTATGAAAATAATATCGTACATAGTTAAATAATAAGTACTTAAATAACATAATATTTAATTATAAGTAGCTCTAGTTAAATTTGTAAGTAGCCCTAGTTATATCTTTCCAAAATTATCACTGATCGGCAATAAATTGTAAGTTCGAAACTTTGTCTCTTCTTCGTGGATGACAATATTACAGCCAGGAAGCAAGCAATTACAAAGTGGACGAGATGAAAGCTTCTCTGTCCTTACGATTTCGTGCTTTATCGATGAAAAGCTAAAACTCGGAACAATGAGGGGTAGACAAAGTATTATGTGGCCGTTGGTGATTAACATCTGATTTTGTCATCTAAATTCGTTATCCAAGGTTAGTTGAATTTTACAAAATCTTCACCTATTTGAAGGTCTTATATTTGTAAACAGATTCTAACTACAATATTTTAATTAGATATGTTAGATTATTATTATATATCTTTTCATTAGTAACGATATGAACAATCTCCGAAAAAACCGTTGGCCTAGGGGAGCGGGACATATTTATTACACAATGTAACCTATCCTAATAAGTGGGTGTATACTAGTGTATAGTAAAACATGGAACAGAATTTTGTATATATTATTTATTGCACACACTGCGATCTTATATCTTAAAGAAGTTACTTCTAGACACGTTTACATTTTGTAGTATAAAAATAGCGTGTAAACTTTGATAACTTTTTTATATTGCAATGCATATTATATACATATTTCAAAGTATTTTTTCAATAATAAACTGTAAAGATTTTTCTGTGAACCTTTCCTTTCTTACACTACAGAGTAATATAAAAAAAAACATAACGACATTACTATATTCTGGAATACTGAATTGATGGACATTAGGGGTATACTTAGTCATATAATTAAATACACGCTGACAGACGATGATGACGGAGTCTTAAGATTACAAAACACATTTCCTAAAAGCTTATTCCGTTACTCTTGTTTAATATAACTTCAATTTTCTCACTGCTTTTACCAAGGTTCCACTAGGGAATTTTGACTGGAAAGTTTTGTTTTATTTAAGTTACAAAATACGAGATTTCGGACTTGAATGCTTTAATCTACTTAATTAAATGACTTAAAAAAATTCATTCTTTCGTTTTAACGATGTTTCTTAATGCTAGTTGGTTGTAACCTCTGAAACTAAATTAAAGCGCTGGATGTGTATTTTTTTAGTTTATGATATTAGAATGGTGAATCGTTAATAAGTAAGTTAATAAGTAAGGCGTACACTGGCGGAGGGTATCAGTGGAGTATAATAAAATGGGAATGTTAGTGAACCCATCGTGGCGAATTCACCAGTAATTAACTACGATTATTTTCAGGGGCACGTAGCATCCTCGTGATTGGGTATATTGCAGCACTGGCTACTGCTATTCACACCAGTAGTAAAGACATATTCAAGTTTTGACATAAGTTAACTGTTTCCATGCCACAGATTGGGTGTTGCGTACCCAAAGTATCAGGTCTATTCAGTTTGGGACTAGACTGCACTGTATGATTTGTTTGAGTGTTTGTTTATTATATCTATTGCTATGCTGGTCAGACGGCTTGGTTCTAGGTTTTATTTTACGTCTCTTGCAGTATTACACTGGTTTATTACACTGTTATTGTGTATTCTTACTACGCGACTACACTTGAGTACTGCGTTACAATATAATAAATCCTTAGTGGGGGCACTATGCCTCCATATATGTAGTGGATATTAATGATACACTGTATTAGAAAAAGTTGTATATTATTACTATTACAGTAATGCAGGCTTTGTCAGCAGACTGGGGAAGTCGGAAAAGTAATATATCTGTAGGATTAATATTGATATAAATCCAGAGTTAGTCATGTTATGCCAGAGAGGTTTTTGTGGAGATTTTTCATAAAGCGACGAGTGATCCAGACGTTGAAATACCTCGGGTTTTACTCTGGAACGTGACTATGTGTATATGAGTAATTAGGCGCCATTAGGGGGAAAAAATGGATGCATGTTATCTGTGATGCGGCTTACAAAATAAGATTTTTTAGACAACCTTTATTAAAATGTTGTCCACTAGTGCTATGATTAAATGTCGTTTTTTGGAATGCTCAATTAAATTCTGTTTCGGGAAATTGTTTTGCCAACTTTATGTTAATTAATTTATTATTAACTAGTTGTTACCCGCGACTTCTCTCGCGTGTTTTTAATTTTTTTCATTAAAACAAAATTTATTATTCTAAAATGTTATAGGCTACTTAAAAGTAGTATAAGTTACTCCTTATAACATTAGCTATCTATCTGCGAGTGAAAGTCCCGTCATAATTGGCGAAACAGCTCAGTAATACAATTTTTTTTTATTATATATCTAATATATATTATATACTTTTATAGATAAACCAGCATTGGTGGTAATTAAATTACAAGTGACTCAATTTGCTCATCACGGGAGTGATAATACAATTTCTAACGGATGTGGATTTCAGCGATATTAGATACGTAAGTTACAATCTATGTGTTAACCATATCGTCAACAGATAAGTATGCCCATGAGAATAGACAAGAAATTATTCATAAACTGTCATCTGCCTTTACAGTTGTGATGGTACAATTTTTTATTATTACTACATAGTAAAATAAAATAATACCTAATCCATATTAATATTATACCTGGTCATCAGTGTGATACCTGTTTATGACTGAAACGGCTATTATTGAAACGGCTTTACAGATCTTAAGAATATTTTTTTAACAGTAGGTTGTATCACGAGGACAAATATAAACTATCTATTATCTCAAAAAAGCACAGGTAGTCGCGTGTTAGTTATAAAATATATAAATTTTAAGTAATCCAAGTATCTACTAATTTTTAAATTAAACTGTACACGTTAACGTATTTTGTATATCGGGAACTCAATAAAAATAAAACGTGGTAAGATACCGTGATTCTTACTAATTATATGTATAAACAATATTAAGTTCTGTAATCCTAGTTGGAAGGATTGAAAACTTTGCCGAATAATGCCACATTACAATGGAATCACTTAATTAAGTTTTAGATTTTGTAGGTTTAGTATCATCCAGATTTTGATATTATAACTGTTATTTTAGTTTCATTAACTCTTTGGTCTCTTATACTAATTAAGGTTTACTTTTGTTATTGTTTTATACTACTATGATGGCAAACAAGCATGCATACATCTGAATATCATTAAAATGAATATGAAGTAAAAAAAATACTCCGTTATCTAATGGGAAGTTAAGTAAATTTAAGTCGTTTTTGATAGAAATGACAAAATAACTATTGATGAAAATATCGTAAAACACAAAAAATAAAGTATCAATTTGTATTTTATTATTTTCTGATGTCTATAACAATCAATGTTCATACTGTTATCAGATTTTCTTCAGGTTATCTCGATTATATTGCAACTTGTAAGAGATTGCTTCCAGCGATAAAAGTTACTTCTGTACAGCACATCCTTAGATCCTTTGAATGTTCTTCTGATACTATTTTTCGTAATAAAGAGTTATATAAACTTAACTTTTGTATCCCGTGTTTTCCTTTCAAATATAATAGCTAT